GGGTCTGTTCTGCCGGGGGTCTGGCGACAGAGGGGGAAGGGATTGGCGTAGCCCGGGGACGACACACGCACCCTTCCGCGCCCTCCGAGACAGAGAGGAATGAACGGGGCGACGCACTGGACGTCGTGCGCGCTCATTCCAGTCTGTGTGCTCAATGACAGTGTCAGCTTTTCCTCAACCAGCTCAGGGAGCTAGCTAGAACAAAAGATTCTCCACCGGCCCTCCACCGGGGAAGGAGGGGCCCTGCCACCGCCTCCTGAGAAAAACCATGACACTATCACTGAGCGGCCCGCCTCAGGAACATCGCTTCGCCTGGCGTTTAGCGGGGCACACGGCCTGAGGGGGGGGGGGGGGGGGGGGGGTGGGGGGGCGCTTACCTGTGGCCTCCTCCGCGACGCGAACCGGCTGAAGGCTGCTGCTGGGGCCGCGTGGGAGGGAAGGGAGCCGCAGGGGGGCGTCCTCGGCGGCGAGCTAGCGGAGGCGTCCGAGCCGACGGCTGGTTGGAGGCAGCAGCTGGCCGTCGGGGCAGAGAAACCGCCTTCGTCTGCTCCTAGGCGGTCGAGAAGTGCTGGGCAAAGTCCTGGACCGCACCGCCGAACATTATGATGCTCCTGGACCACAGCGGTGGGCATCACCTGACCAAGGGAGCGAGCGACCGCCTCCGTGACCCGTTTAAGGACAAGGTAGGCGGCAGGCTCGCAGCTCGCTTGGTCCGTCACCTCCTCATGCACATTCCTGAGCAGCTAGCTTTGTAGGTGCTCATCATATGCAGGGCGGAGGCTGCCTGTCCCGCCGCTCTACAGAATCGCGCCGCCATAGACGACGAGAACCCATAGGCTTTGGAGGGGCATCTGAGAGCAACCGCCGGTTGACCGGGGGAGCCCCAGCGTACCCACAGACAGCCGCATCGCCGAGGGGAGGAAGGGCGGGGAACTAAAGCACGCCTTTTTTTTTTTTTATTATTATTTATGTATTTATTTTTAGTGCGTGTCAGTTCCGCATGCAACTCGGGGAAAAAAGGAAATTGGGGTTGGCCGTGGCCGTAAGGCGGCAGCGTTACCCAAAAACCAATTATTCAGCCGCGAGAGATCGGGATGGGGCGGAGTTCCACCCCCACCCGATGCTCACGCCCGAGATAGCACGGCCATCATCGCGGGATCAGACACGGCGGCGCTGACGCTCCCGAGGGAGGCAACGCGACCGCATCCTCACTTCCCGAGGAGTCAAGCCCGCCTAGTGATGCTGTGATCGACATCGCATCATCATCTGGAGCGCTGCCCGAAGCAGCCGGTGCCACCGAAGAAGCAACCGACTGAATCGAACTAACGCTCGCTGGCTCTCGCACTGAGGCGGGAGGTGTGGCCCGAGGAATCGTCGGGGCTTTGTCCCACACCATCACCGTAAAATCACCAGGTCCCCGGGTCGACGGGCCCCCTATGGAGGAAACCGATCGAGCGGGGGGGACCGGGACTCTCACTCAAGTGAGATCATTGAGTCTCGACCTCAGTGTAGAGATGGTCATGTTCCCACAGAAGGAACATGAGTCATCCACGAACGCTGCTGCTGCATGCTGAAATGCCCAGGCATACAAAGCAGCGTTCGTGACCATCAGATGACGACAGAAATCAACCACACCCAGAAGAACACGGGCGAACCGTCTTTAAAAAGACGTGCGCGTGCAGCTCTTTCAATGAGAGGAGGAAATTCACTCTTTCAGCGCTGAAGCGACCAGGGAGAAGCGCAAAGTCTGGCAGACCACTGCTCAGATCGCAGGCGATGCAGAATCTCGCTGGGTACCGCCGTCACACCAACACTGAAGAGGACGCTCGTCTCGAAGAGTCTTGAACAGTGAGAATGGCTTTCAGGAGTGAAGAGGTTCTCTTGGCTCCGAAGCGAAAACATACTGCGGTTGCGTTCACTTCCTCCTTTTATACTCACGGAGTAGGGCGGAGTACGCTATGCAAATTTCCGCAGCCCCAAGGCATTGCATGCCATTGGCTCGTGTTTAAATACTCGAAGAGGATTGGCTTTCTATGCGAAACCCCCAATCTCCGTCACTTCCAATCTCCGTCACTTCTGACGTAACTCGAAGTGACTACGAAAGGGAACACACTTTTAGGTGACTTTTCAAATTTGTCTAATTTAGTGATGACATTCAACGTTGTTCCTTTGGTGTAGTTGCTTGCACCTTAATTTAGTGTTTGGTAGAAGGGTGTGATAGATATTGTAGATATTATTCTTTAGGATCTGCAGAACATATTTCTATGTCAAGTCTTTTCGATTGCAATTTTATTTTTCATATATGAAAACATCAGGCTACAAAGCTTATTCAGTTTTAGATGTGGTTCTATAATTTCACCCCTGAACATAAATACATTTGTTTCAAGGGTGAACAAGTCCAAATCAAATCAAAATGAGGAACTGAAAAATGTAAATGATGCAGTATTACATGTTTTCTGATCAAATCTTCATTTATATATCAATGTTTGACAGCCACCACCCACAGTAATGAACATTAATTTATATCCTCAAGCTGATGAAACAGGATTAAAACATTTTCATCTCTAATCAAAAATAAACACTGCAATACACAACATTATACAAAACATGTAATTCACAACATATTACAAATCATGTCCATCTCTAATTAAAAATAAACACTGCAATACACAACATATTACAAAAAATAATGTAATACACAACATATTCTGACTTCTTGAATTTGTCATTTAATGATAAAAGAATTATTTATGCCGTAGAGGCTTTTCCCTCAAAATAAGACTAAATTAAATACATATAAATCATTATTAAAGCTACAAATGTTATTCAGTCAAGAGCAATGTGTGATTTTTCCCTTTTTTCCCTTCTAAAACCATCAGATGTGAAATAACCTTTTCTTTTTTTCATTCTTACCTTCTTAATCTCATTTGCAAATAAGTCGACTGGATCAAAAAATGGCTAAACCATATGGTCCAAATGAGCAAAAGACAAAAACGTTGTTTGATTAAACAAGAAGGATTCTATGAGAGGAAGTGTGAAACGCCCTCACTCTTATTAACCCTTTCCGTCTCACCCCCCCCCCCCTCAAATATACTTTGAAGTATATTCAAAGTATATTTTTGAATATACTTAACATGAAAATGCACATTTCGAACTTAAATGTTTGTAATTCAAGAATGCTTTGGAATATAGACGTAAGATTGGCTTTGTTTTAAATAAGACATGTGGCAGATGTTTGTAGAAGTGAAATAAATTAAGAAAGTTAAACAGAAACAGTTATAGAAGTTTGAGTTTATGAAAATGTAAGAAATGTATAAAATACATATTTTCAAAACCTGGGCGACTCTACAACTGCTAAAATATCAAAGGCAAAAATCTGAACAAGTTTTGTTTCAAATTTTGGGTTGATCTAAAAAAAAAATTCAGTAAAATTTTGTTTGGGCACAGTACCAAACATTTTCAGTATGACAACCAGACTACATCACTGCCCATTTAAGGGCACCTCCATTTCCATGTGTTTTGAGTGATCTGAACCATTATTTCAAAAATGTTCATACAATTTATGAAGACATCTTATTCAGAAGTAGTATGGGAAGTTTGGTAGATTTTGATATGAATTCAACCTCAAAGAAACACATAAGAATAACATGTATGTGTGTTATAGCTCGATGCCACCTCACACATGGTGAATCTATAATTTTGTTCTTTATATTTAAAAGATTTTCAGACCTTTTTATCTAAAATATTTAAATGGATGCAATCTATCAACGTCTAAACACGCCTTCATTTATTTTGAAAATCAATCACCAAAAATGGAAACCAAAGATTGTAGGCTTTCAAATGAATTATAGTTTGTCAAGATTAGTTTAGATTTAGTATAGGATGTTACTGTTTTAATTAAATGACTGTGGGCCCACCGGTGGCACTTAAGTTTAATCAAGTCTGTTTTGCTTAAAGGGATAGGCTACTTCACCTTTTGTGTAATTAAAATGGGTCATTTATGTAGAAACAATGTGAAATTATTTTTGGATTCAGAGCATTCTAGACTGAGAAAAGCCAGAAAATGTATTTTTGGCTTATGTGGATGAAAGACAACAACTCCCAGAATGCACTTGCTTCGCTGCCCTAGGAGGCCACGCATACCGGTAACAGAGCACAGTAGTTAAACAACAAGTCTAGGCTACTAGAGAGTCTCCGTGATGAGTCTGCCTGAAAATGTGTTTCGAGATCGCCCAAAATGTCCGGGATTCGGCTTTTGCGTTCTACAGTCGCCATTCATTATGTTTACTGATGAATGGCGACATGAATACTGATCGAAAAGAATTCAGTTAGGTTGAAACAAAAGGTGTGCATGTAAACAATGAATGGCGACATCGATCACGGACATCGACGGACGGACATGTTCAGGAAAAAGAGAATTGTAACCCCTACTACTCAGATTTCTCCACAGAACACGAGCCTGCTAACTTAGCTTCCAAAAAAAGATGTCTAACACTATGTATGTGTGCATTTTGGGAGTGAGATCCCATATGGGGGTGGGTTGAAAACATGCGGGACAGCCCCTACTACTAGCTGTATGACTGTACAGTCTGTCTGATAGACTATAAGCAGAAACCAGGCTCACAAAGAAACCCTAGAGTCTTTGCAATGACACAAGCAAGATGATGCCCTAACAGACTAAAGATGCAGTGTACCATTTAAATCTACTAAATCAAAAAGAGGAACAGAAAAATGTAAAAGATGCAGTTTTACATCTATTCCAATCAAATGTTCGTTTATATCAATGTTTGACAGCCACCACCCACAATAATAAATTTATAACTACAGGCTCGTGAAACAGGAGTAAGACATTTCCAACTCTAATCAAAAATAAACACTGCAATACACAACATAATACAAAACATGTAATACACAACATATTGCAAAACATTTCAATTTCTAATCAAATATAAACACTGCAATACACACACACACACAAAAAATGAATACACAACATAATCTGACTGCTTGAATTTTTAATTTGATTATAAAACAATTATTGTTGCCAAAGGCTTTTCCCTCAAAATTATACATTTTTACAGTTGATAAGTGAAATGCACTAGAATTATTTAATTTACAATTTAGACATGAAACAAAACACTATACACTTCACTGCTATTTATTTTGAAAATAACATGTCAAATGTGAAATTCCAAACAAGTCAAAGTTAAAAGCAATTAATGGCATAATTTGTAAAAAAAAAAAAAAAAAAAATTCCCCCTTTGCTCCTGAACCATGTAAAGTCCTTGTAAAAGGTGCTTTAAGATTTTCAAGTAGGTCTAACAGTAACATTAAGGGAAGAACTATACAGAAATTGAATGAACTAATCAAATGTAAAATAACACTGCACAGTCTTCATACATTAAATACTGATTAATCATTATTAAAGCTACAAATGTTATTCAGTCAAGAGCAATGTGTGATTTTCCCTTTTTTATTTGTTGTATTGACATTTATGACTTCAGCTTGTTTAGGCATGGCGCGAATCTGACACATCCTAATTTCTCTCAACTCTTTACGGTCATTAAGAATGTGCCTTTTTAACGTAATTGTGTGTGTTTTGTTGGTTCAGGTTTGCAAAAGAGAATTCAAATCTGTACTGGTGCACTGAGAAGCGACTTTCTGCGTTTATGGTCATTTACAGAGAGCCACTTCACAGAACATTACCAAATTGAGTTTTCTTTTCGTGCTTGAATGGTTTAAAAGCACTTGAATGAATGAGAGCATGATCATATAATATAATGCTAGCCAAAGCATTGTCAGAAAAAAAGGATGTGCTAAAAAAGAAAGTGATAAACATAAAAAAAATGGTTAACATGTTAATTTGTGACAGCACATCAAACAACTGTTCTGAGTTTTTTGGTGACTTTCCTTGATTGAGATTACTACTGAGAAACAGGGAGAAAGTAAATTGTGTGAGAAAAGTACAACATTGCATCTGAACAGGCTTTCTAGATCAATCTAAAAATATTCATTCATACATAAACTTTTATCTTATTTACTGTCCAAAAAATTACAGATAGTATCCAACCCAAGACCTTCAATTCCTGCTGATAATGAAGTCTATTTTCATAAAACAACTCTATACCCAAATATAACTAAAATCCAAAATAAATCACAGATTCAGTAGATGATTTCCACTTGAGGATTTGTTTAGTCCTGGTTTGTTGCAGAAGAGCGCATTAGAATCTGTTGTTGCCTCTGCTCTCTGCCACATGGGTCACTGCTGCACACACACACACACACACACACACACACACGCACACACGAAAGTCAAGGATTTAATTAAGATCAAGTTAATTCATAACAGATAGAGGTTTATACATTTTCAGTTGTAGACTCAAATATTTAGTAATTTACCTGCTAGACATTCTTGATAGTCGACTCCGTATTCAAAAAAAAAAAAAAAAAAAAAAAAATATATATATATATATATATATATATATAACACTTGAGATTATCATCCTTAAAGAACAACTACAGAAACGCGACCAGATCTGGCAATATGGTGATAGCAGATAGGACCCCAAAGTGAATCCAGAAATGCTTTTCACCCTGATACGACTTAATGAACCACTGGAACGATTTTGGAAACATTATTTTAAGGTAAAAAAAAAAAAAAAATGCTTTAACTAAAGAACTAAAGACCTGAAGGCTTTTCTGATGAAAATTGAGCAGTTTAACTGCTCAGGACAAACAAGGAACTAAAAAAAAAAGGGGGGGGGGGGGATGGGGGGGTTGTGCAAGGCCTGTCATCCAGCAAGGCCTGTGACACACAGTATTATGAATCAAATACAGTATGTTGAACGGGGTCATTTTTATAAATTCAGCCTTTTTTTCTTGATGACTGCATGTAAACATCTTTTATGTTGAATCTCTTATTCAGGACAGTACTAAATAAAAAAATAACACGCATTATGATCCCTCTTATTTTGTTAAATAATTATACAAAGTATTTTGTAAATTCTGCATAGTGTATCATTACTGTAAATGAGCAATATACGAGTAGTTTATCACGGCGTGCTGATATACAGCCATATTGTTGTAGTAGAGTTGAACTTTTAAATTCAGTTAGAAGTACAAAAGCAACGCTAATTACAGTAGCTTAGAGGAATAAAAATATAAAGTCATTCATCCCTTATCCCAATCAATTTTCCCAAAAATAAATCTCAGGTTTAAACATCTACATAAGAGTCAGTGGCAAATTCTCGAAGGACTGGCATGAGTACATGAGCACTGAACGGTCGCTGATGGTCTGAACCTCAATATCCCAAAAAAGTCTAAACATATTTTCAAATATGCTAGTTCAAATAAATTGCATATTTAAGGTCTAAATAACTGCATTTCCCTTAAAACTACAATCCGTGGCATAACAACAGTAGTTCTTTCTGAAATTACAGTGGTTTGCTTGTCCGCCATGACACTCTCTGTGAGAAATGTTGCAAGCGTAGTGATACAAATGGTGGAACGGTTCCAGTGCTGACAAATATCACACGGCTGGAAAATGCTTTCATTGGATTTGAGAACCAGAACAAACTGTTATATTATTATTTATTTATTATGCTAAAAGTTTGTTTTATCAGCTTTTTCGAGAACACTAATATTGATCGAGCTCAAAATTCACAGACTCAAAGCCACAAATTTTTAAATCAGACTAAGGCACTATAATGTTCCCAGGTAGAGATTAATCCTCACCCATTGTCATTTCTGGATTGGAGATCTGCAATGCGATTCCTGGTAAAGATTTGAGTGATTTTCAACAAATTATTATTGAAAGATACCAGAAAGTCAACTGATCAGCTTATTCGTGTGTTAAAATCTAGACTCCTAAATCATTCTGGCCTGTGGGTCCTGAGGACTGGAGTTGAGTAATATTGTCATAATGCATTCCCAAATGCTCACATGCTCGTATTTGTGCTTAAATCAGATCCAGACTCACTTGTATTTCTTGACAACGAATAAACACAGTAATCCAACCAAAAGAGCAGCTCCAAGACCAGAGATGGCTGGTATGAGAATGTGGCTGAGAGTTGATTGTTCTGTTAAAAAATAAATAAATAAAAATAAGAATCACTTAATTACTAAAATTATCACTTATAACAACATATACATAGTATGATTGTGTTGTTATACCTTTCACAAAGATAGGGTGAGTGGCTTCCATTTCACCCTCAACATACCCATGGTACTTGACTGTGCATGTGACAGAGGAGTGATCATCCTCTTTTGTTGGGGTGAAGGTAAGGAGAGACTCTGCTACCCATTTTCCATGATCAATGTGCTTGTAGCTCACGATGGTTTTTCCAGGGTGGTTCCAGCTGAGAGTGGGCTGATGGGACGGACAGGTGTGACGGACGGAGCATTTGAAGATTGCAGGTTGACCTTCTTCCACAGACTTCTCAGCCTGCAACTCTGGTTTTGATGCTTTCTCTGTACATATATTTTGAATGACAGAAAATATTTCACATAGTAAATAAAAGCAAAAACTAGCTTATATATTAATTATTTAGTCACAAAAAATCATTTGGAATCTTTTGATTGTTTTGTATATTTTCTTATTTTGTATCCTATAGCTGTTGGAATTACAGGTTGACAGCTCAAATGCACACTTACCAATCATTTTAATTGTCACACAGTTATCCACAAAGGAATACTTGTCAGTTTTAGATGTCTCTATTTCCACCCTGAAACAATACGGGCCGTTGTCGTGGTTTTTGACATCATCAATCTCCAAGGAGCAGTTTAAATCACCCAGTGAACCAATCAGTTTAGTACGACCCTTGAAATTGTCTAGAACCCTTGTAGGATCATTGTGATAGATGTAATCTTCCCGTTTGCCCTTCATGTGCCACATGCCTTTAGTACGACTGGAGGGCTGTTCTTGAGGAGGGTATTTGAAGGCACAGGGCAACACGACACAAGATGAGACCAGAGCATCCATTTCAGACTCTACCTTCACCTTCCAAACATCACCAAACACGACAGCACAAATAACTGCAAAATAATATAAAAAAATACTGAAAGTTAATAAATGTATATTATATAATAATATTTATAATATATATATATATATATATATATATATATATATATAATCACATCATCTCATTTATTAATATAATATATGGAAATAATGCTTTTAAATAATACCCTGAAGCCAGCAGAGAATAACCCGTGCCCGTACACCCATGCTGGATTGGACTCTAGAAACTGAAAAGGAAAAACACATAAAAAATAAATAAATAAATAAATAAATAAAAATACTGAAAAATACAACTTAGTGATCATATTGATGCAACTAGAATCAGTTGACAAGGTTGTTGGATAATGATATTCTGTCTATAAAGGAATAACAAATGCAATCAATACTTACTTGAATCAAATACAAAGAGAATATGAGATTTCATAGTCACAACAGTCACTAGTCACAAGAGAAGCATGTACTGTACAAGTCTAATAAGCCTGTGCTTGCTAGGTCACAAGCAATAGTGGACAAAGAAAAAAAATACAGATAGATATGGCCTTTGCTTAGGAGGTCAAGCATGAGGGGTTAATACATTTCTGTTCTCTAGAAATATGGAAGTGAGTAAATTATAAGAGTGAAAGGACCTTTACATACAAAATAACATACAAAAATGATAATGTTAAGCATACGATTCGTATATGAATCTTACACTAAATAAAACATCATTAAATAAGCAATCAAACATGATACAAGTAATTGAAATTAAGTTTAATGGTGGAAAATAACTGCATCTGGAAACTATGATATTTAATAACATTACATATATGAAATAACACAAGAAAATTGTATTTTTCGAAATTGTATTATTTTTTTTTTAAGTATATTGTACTTTTGTTTATATTTTGTATTTGCTTATAATCAGGAATGTTTTTAATTCATTTTAAAATTATGATAATATTAATATATATATATATATATATATATACAAAATAAATGGAGCCTACCTTACTTTTCACTGTGCCTTTACTGACTGAAAAACTTGACTGAATTCTAATGCAAACCAGAGATATAAACTGACTAAAAAACAGCAACAGGAAGTATGTTGTGAGATGTCTGGGAATTAATAGGGAGCGGCTTCAGGGTAAAAAAATAAAAATAAAAAAAAATAATACCGTTTGCTATCTTGAAGCCACACAGGCTTGGTTTAATTGACCTCAAGTAAGATTACATTCTTAGGTCACTCAGAGTCGCATAATTGTACATTTGGCAAGTAAGATTTTCCGTTGAAGGCAGTGGGTTAGTGAAAACATTCTGATATAAAGGACTATGTGGTCGCCTCAAGGATCTTAAAGGGGATATGAAGCAGTCAATCAAGTTTACATGATTTACAAGATGGATTACTGATGGAAAAATGTAAACAAATAAAAGAAAAAAAAAAGAAAAAAAAAACGTTATATCTTTCGCCTCCAGGGCATCGCCATTGTGCAGTGTTCTAACATGTGATGTCACGGGGTTGGTTGGCTTTAGTTTAACAGGCTCTGGGCAGTGAATATCCCGACATCAAACTGTTGACACCACAGTGTTTTGACCGTGAACAGCTGTAAGCATGAACTAGCTAATGCTAACTTAGTGAAGTTTATTAGTACCAGACAAAAAGACGACGTCTAATGTTATATGTTGACAAACTGCACATAGAAACATTGTTCATTGTTTGTTCACAGAAACAAATGTGCTCAGGTTCACTGCACCAAAAGGTTCAAGGGGTGAGGTTTGAAATTATGGGTAACACTGTAAATTGAAATTAACTGGATTGGTAGTGTTTTATAGCATCTTATGATATATAAATAATCAGAACATTTCATATAGTGGTGGTTCGTCTGATCAGAGACTGACATTTAATTATATATATATATACAATTTTTTTCTATGATTAAATGTGATAAAAGGAATAGTTTACTTCAAAAAAAAAATTCTAAAAATTCTGTCATCATTTACTTGCCCTCAAATTGTTTCAAATCTGTATGAGTTTCTTCTGCTGAACACAAAACGACTGTAACCCTAGTTCCCTAAGAAAGGGAACGAGACGATACGTCGATGACACTTTGGGAACGCCCCCAGTGTGAATGCGTCTGAAGCATCCATGTCAACTAGTCCAATGGAAAGAATGAATGTCACGGGAGGTTGACGTCATGACCAGGAAGAGATAAAAGCGCATCCGGTGCAACCGGCATTTGCTCCTAAAGTTGCCGAAGCGAGTCGATCACAGGGATGCAGGAAGTATGGCAAGGCGACACATCGTCTCGTTCCCTTCTCAGGGAACTAGGGATACAGTCGTAACCTGAGACGCTCCCTTTTGAGGGAACTCGCAATGCGTCGATGACACTTTGGAAATGCGAATACCCATATCCCCAAACTAACAAATTCCACTTACAAATGACTGTCAGCCTGCTGTCAGAACTAAAATAACAAACGTCTAGGAGAGAAACCCCAGATAACACGAGATTCCGCTAGGGCTGGGCGATATGGCCTAAAAAAAAAAATCCCAGATTTTTTTCACAAAAAATCCGATTTACGATTTAAATCGATTTTTTTTCTGTCCCTACTTAAAATCAATCTGCAGATGACAAATAAATTGTTCAAAATAAGTTTTAACTTTATTTTGTTTTGATATTCCCTTCTGTGATATTATCTGGATTAAAGTGCAATCAGAAACAACAAGCCAAAAAGACAAAAGGGCAGGCCCTGTCATTGTAAATAGTGTAAATGTAACATAACATGAAATGAGTGGATCGGGATTGTAAAAAAAAAAAAAAAAAAAAAAAAAAAAAAAAAAAAAACTTACATCACAATAAGTTTATTGTGATTGTCAAATTATTTGGTAACTAAACATAATTTTATTAGGTTTATTTACCATAAACACAATGTTTACATGGTACAAAGACGGTATTCTTCTGTGTTTATTATTGCTTAACACAAATTTCATAATTTCAAAGATTTGATTCTGATATTGATTCAATATCAATTCCTTTGGATAAATATTAGGTACAGTAGATACGTTAATGTGTTATGTTAATTGTTCTCCAAAAATAAATTACCTAATGCTGTAAACATACAGAAAGCCCTGTCAGCTGGTATTATTAAAGGTTAAAACTAACTCAAATTAAACATAATGCGTTTTTTATAATGACAAACAACGCTATAATATTTTAATGATATAGTTCAAATATAATAAATGTCTAATATAGTTATCATACTTAGCAAAATTCCCCTCTCTATAGCAATTATTTTAAGTCCTACTAACATGCGTGCTATGGGTCATTAAAAGGCATTCCTGAGTCTGAGGTAAATGTAACGTTACGTGAAACATGTTGTTCTCCAACTTCTCCAGCTGTTTTATGGACATCTTTCCGCGGTTGAAAAACACTGATCGATCGGTTTTATTTCGGTAAGTTAGCAGTAAAGGGTAACAGATGATCGATTCACGTGCCGCTTGAACTGAGATCTGTTAGTGATCTTTCACGTGATCCCGTCACATTTACAAGCGCCAAAATGGTGTTTTTTGTTTGAATTTCGTAATAAAATTGACAGAATCTGAGAGCTGAGAATCTGTCTCATATCAATAACAACCTACTCTGTCTTTTGGTGTCAGTGTCCTCTTGCTCTTTGCTTCGCGATGTTTCTCTGCATGAGAAAATGGATGTGTGCGTGAGAGAGTGTAAAAAGTGACAATTGCAGATTCAGCTTGTAAATGTTTTCGGCAGGTGTGCTTCTACTGCCGCGGTCTTGTTCATTTGCCGTGTTGTTGGTGTATCTTTATCATAGCAAGCGCTGAGCGCGGTCGGAACTACAGGGGGTCTAGATAGCCTCGTCGGCGGTTGTTAAACAGAAAACCGATTTTCATTCAAAAAAATCTTCGCAAATCTGCGCAAACTACAAATTCGAGTTAATCGATAAAATCTATTTATCGCCAAGCCCTAGGTTCCGCTTTTCCAGTTGTTTCATTCAAACATTATGGACCATGGCAAGCAGATTTTGTGAAAAAAGGAGAACTAAAACTAGGATCAATAGTTAAATCAAGTTCATTAGCCAGTTTTAGTGCATTGGCTGACTAAGTTTTTCCAGTTGTGTTCCCCAGTTGAGTATTTGAACACCCGTGTTCTTGCCTGCTCATACCCCTTCTTTTTCCAGTTATAATCCTCTGACCTTTTTGTCTCAGACATCTCACTTTCTCTTCCTTAAAATCTCCCTCTTGCCCTTCCTTTCCTCATCATGAGTGTATATGCCCTGTTCTGCTATTTGGCTACAAGTCACTTACTGCCCCTTTATTTTTTTTTATTTTATTTTTTTTATTTCCTTATTTGATAGGGACAATGCTCATTAATCAACAACAATACATGCTGTAAACAAGCCAGAGTTAGCTACGCGTGCTAGTTTCCATCTGCTGTCCCTAGCCAGGTCTTAGCAGGCTGCCTAAAATGCAAAAGTCAGTGCAAAATACATTATACATTTAATAAATACAGTAGTAATATGATAAAATATGAACAGGACATACCAGGATCAATATAAGCCTAAAAAACATAAAGAGCATACACAGGCCATATATAAATATACATACACTCTCTCACCCATACATATACGCAAATAAATGTACACATATACATACGCACATCTCTACATTCATACAAATACCCATATACACATACATCCACCCACATATACTGTACACATACAAGTGTATTTTGAACCTAAGTATTGGATGTATGCTTGCACGTATAAGTGTCCCCAAACTACGAAAGCTCTGAACCGCAACCTAATAAAAAAAAAAAAATCTGTAAAAAAAAAAAAAAAAATCTAGCATTTCGAGATTAAAGTCGAAATGTTTCGAGATTAAAGTCCAAATGTTTCGAGATTAAAGTCCAAATGTTTCGAGATTAAAGTCGAAATGTTTCGAGATTAAAGTCGGAATGTTTCGAGATTAAAGTCGAAATGTTTCAAAATTAAAGTCGGAATGTTTCGAGATTAAAGTCGGAATGTTTCGAGATTAAAGTCGAAATGTTTCGAGATTAAAGTCGAAATGTTTCGAGATTAAAGTCGGAATGTTTCGAGATTAAAGTCGAAATGTTTCGAGATTAAAGTCGAAATGTTTCGAGATTAATGTCGAAATGTTTCGAGATTAAAGTCGAAACATTGTGCATTCATAGTGCGCGTCCACTGGCTCAGAGCGCGCGCGTGTGTGTGAAGTCGAACTGCCATGGATAAACCCAAAATAGTAGCTTTTTACTTTTATCTGGGCTTTCAACAAAATTCTACACACGTCACACGTGCTAGTGGCAGTGTTTCTGAGGTGTTTTCGTGCTCGTCTAGTCAACACTATCTGGGTCGAGAACACAACAGTAACTGTTCGGTCTCCTCTTCCCCGTAAATACGCCCTGGATACATTTTAAGTGCATCATTCTGTATCCAATCATTTGGCCGGATCCTGTGATTTCCTAAGATTTAATAACCACTTATGGTTGAGGAGAGATTCTCTGATATGATTGTAAAGCACTTTGAGTGTTGGCATATATGAAAGCGCTAAATAAATGCCCTATTCATTCATTCATTCATTAATTCATAAAGCTGGATTTCTCCATCAAGTCTGAAAAGTGTTTTCCGTGTTGGTTTTCCTATAGGCTAAAGTCTATTCCGGCGCATTATATTTTATAACGATAAAGTAAGATAAGTAATTCAGATAAAAGTAAAAAGCTACTATTTTGTGTTTATCCATGGCAGTTCGACTTCACACGCACACGCGCGCTCTGAGCCAGTGGACGCGCACTGTTATGAATGCACAATGTTTCGACTTTAATCTCGAAACATTTCGACTTTAATCTCGAAACATTTCGACTTTAATCTCGAAACATTTCGACTTTAATCTCGAAACATTCCGACTTTAATCTCGAAACATTTCAACTTTAATCTCGAAATGCTAGATTTTTATTTATTTTTTTTACAGATTTTTTTTTTTTTTTTTTTTACTGACTTTTTTTTTTTTAGCTTGCGGTTCAGGGCTTCCGTACCAAACCAAGACCTAAGTTGTTTTTTAAAAGAGAAGAGACTATTACACTCCCTTAACTCATTGGGCAAACTATTCCAGAAAATGGTGGCTCTAATAGAGAGGACTGCTGCTTTGTCTATATTGAACAATGCAGTCCCCTCTAGTGGTTGCTCTAGTAGCTCTATTGGCCTTGTCTTTCTGTTTTATGAATTGGCACAGTGGTGGTGGAGAAAGCCCACAGAGTACCTTAAAAACAAGACATGCATCAGCGAAATGTATGAAATTTTCAAAGCTGAGCATATTGTGTTTTTTAATTATAAGACAATGATGATGACTATTTCCTTTCCGGTCCAAAGTCTTTAATGCCTGTTTATAACGTGACTCCAAAGGTTGCATTGTTGTTTTGTTTGCTTGCGACCAACTAGTTAAACAGTAAGAGAAATGTGAGAGAATCATTGCATACAGAAAGAGTTTTGCGGCCTTCATTGATAAATAGGATCTTATATGCTTAAAATTTGCTAGGTTAAATTTAACAATATTGGCAACCTTTTTAGTATGCTTTTTGAATGATAGATTTGAGTCTAGGATGATTCCCATATATTTACAGTCCGGCACCACTCTAATCTTCTCTTGGTTGACAAGCACCTCAGGGTCATAAGTGACAGTTGTTTGTTTTGTAAAGTACATGCAGACTGTTTTATTTATGTTCAAGTGCAAGCATGAATTAGTTAGCCACATGGATACATTACTCATGGCCTCAGTCAGTTTGTGTGCAGCTTGTTGTTTATTTTGAGCATGCACGTAGAGGACTGTGTCATCTGCAGACATTTGTAAATGTACAGATGGACAAACAGTGGGCAGGTCGTTTATATAGAGACTGAACAAAAGAGGGCCCGATATAGATCCTTGAGGGACACCTATTTTACAGTTTGAATATGTGGATTGGGTGTTGTTAATGCGTGTGCTTTGTTTTCTGTCAGTTAAGTAAGATTTCATCCATTTGATTGCATTCTCAGAAAAATTAAAATATGATAATTTTGTCAAAAGAACGTCATGCTTGACGGTGTCGAAAGCTCTTTTTAAGTCTAAAAATATTGCACCGACCACGCCTCCTTTGTCTAGATTAAATTTAATATTCTCTATAAGGAAGCAGTTGGCTGTTTCTGTAGAGTGTTTACTCCAAAAGCCAAACTGCATTGGGTGAAGTGCTGAAAGACCATTATTAAGATGTATAGCCAACCCGATCTCACGACCAAATCGTACGAATTCGACGAATGATTAAAAAGTGGCTAATTCGTAACAATTCATACGACCTCACTCGTACGAATTAATACGATTTTGCTAAATCGTACATATTTTACGAATTGGCCAATTTGTATGAATTCGTACGAATGACCTACCCCTGACCCCGCCCCTAAACCTAACCATCACGTGGGTTTAGACAAATCGTACGAATTAGTACGAGTGAGGTCGTAAGAATTAGTACGAATTAGCCACTTTTTAATCATGCGTCGAATTCGTACGAATTGGTCGTGAGATAGTGTTGGTATAGCCAGCTGTTTCGCCACCAATTTGATCAAAAAGACAAAGGACGTCATTATCCCTCACTCCGTCTCTTACCTAGCTGTCTTTAGATCAACTCAATTCAACTCAATATCAGCAGCAACTATATTTGGACATCCCTAGTTCTTGGAACTTTATTGCTGATGAAGCAGATAAAATGTTGATAGCAGGAAATACAGTGTTCTGTCAAAATCACATCCTAATGATGAAGATGTTAAGAAGATATATAACAACTTAAATTTCTACCAGACACAATGAGAATCATGCAATCGAGATCTGATACACACTAAAATACAGTGAACACTTCTTTTTTTTTTTTAAAGATAGCACAAGCATGATTTAATTTTCAAGCAATACATTTCACACAAAATTTCATTTGGCTTCAATTCAAAAGGAATGGTTTGTGGATGATTAAAGTCCCCGTGAAATCAAAATTGAACCTATTTACTTTGTTAGCGCATATTACTAGTCTTGTGGTGAACAATTAATCTGTGCAAGTAAAAATATATTTAAAAAATGTTTTACCTTGGTAATCTTTAATCAAAATCTGAAAAGTTACTTCCGGTCTGGAACGGTTTCTTTTTCTGATGACGTAGGTTTCACAGTTTGGGAGGGGAAACTCTTAACCACTCCCCTCAAACCGTTAGTTTGCTATCAGCGAGAGATGGAGAGGAGGAGCGCAAGAGTAAAACCCTGCCCTCTGTTCAATATTCCGTTTCACTTGGAAATACCTCACAGCACTGGAGAAAAATCGTTTGCAACTTCCGGTTCACGGGGACTTTAAGTGCTTAAGTTGTTTTATTTTTTTCTTCCAGTGTAGTTGGAATGCCAAGAGAGTCACACCTACAGATAGGAAGCATACAATAATGTTAAAGTCAATACAAATTACTCAGAAAATGTATGTATTATTTCATTTTCTAAAATAAACTCTTTCTGAATCCTATAAGATTAATAATATTCTTTTTTTTTTTAGAAACAAAGTCAGAAACTTTTTTTTTACATTGTTAGATCAATATACATCAGTTTTACATTGTTGTCATTTGATAAAACAAAAATAAAACAATGTTGAACAGAGTGAGAGAGAAAATAGGAGGAACTGATGCAGAAAAAATGTTCTAACTTCTAGGGTACGGTCCTGTTGATCTAATATTTTCATCAGATATTTCCATATAGGTCATCATCATAATCATAACCCTTAGAGGAAAATTTAAAGAGAATCATCAGTCAATAGCATATTAATCACAGAAATCGATTGTCGATTTTTCCATGCTGTAAGAATTTAGATGAAATGATAAATGTACTCACGTGGCTGGTTTCCGGCTCACTGAGATACATAAGGGAAAGAGATTGTAAAATCACCTTTATGTTTGAATTTATATAAACTGTCAATCTAATGTATTTAATAGACTGCTAGAACTAGAACTAGAACATATCTGCCATATGGAAAAGGAGAAAAACACAATGTTATTAAAGAAAAATGTTAAAGAAAAGTAATCTTCGAGTAGCATCAGAAATTGAATTATGACACGGATTGCATTCAACAGTATCATGTTGCTGTGTATGAGGAATATAATGAATTTAGACCTTGAGGGACTCATATGTGGTTCAGATGCACTGTACCTCTTAGGTGATGGAATATGAGGTTTGGAGAAAGGCTTGTTTCCTGACTCTGTATATGTGTTGTTTGCCCTGTGAAGAGTCATTTGGTCATTTGAATAGGAAGACGTTTTAAAAGTATACAGAATTTTTTTTTTTTTTTAAATAAAATAATGACTTGTATTCTGCTCTCAAATAGGCATTGGTTCTGGGTGATTGGTATCTGTGAGAGAAAGAGAGAGAGAGAGCATGAGGATGGAAAGCATTCATAGCATGGTCAGAATTGGTGTCCATGTACTTCGTATGTCTTCATGAATTCAAATATACCAGTTGTATGATTCTTTAAAAAGTTATATAAAAAAAAATAAAAAAATCAGACTTCCTGATGGTAGGTATTGCTGCGCCCAAACTCTCAAGTACCATCAGGATGTGATGGTGATAACATATACAAAGATTTGTTTCAATCCCTTAAAATACTGCTAAGATACAGAATCAATTCAGGTTTGGCGACCAAATCATTAGATTCGCATTATGCATTACATGTGTACAGGTTTAAAATATCGAAAAAGTACCTTTTGACAAGTACTCTCTCAATATTATTTAATTCACAAATTTAGGAGCATTTTAGGGTGACCTGTTAAACGCTGTCAGACATAGTCTGAAAAAGTATGACAGTTAAAGTTATAAGCAGAAATGACACATTTTGAAGATTTTGAAAAGCAACAAAAAAAGAAAAGAAACACAAACCTGTGTCGCCTTTTATAAATGAAGACTCCAGCAAGTATGCAAATTAGAATGAACAGAAGTGAAGAAGCAATGACGTAAGGCCCAAATCCAACCTCTTGAATCCCTATGATAATATAATTGTTACAAAGATGAATAGTCACATCTCTCGCACAGTTTCTGTTTGACGAGTCACATTAAAAATGGTCCAACGATTCTAACATGCACAAGCCTAACTCATTAATGTATACAGACGTCCTCCAAATCATGGATGTAACTGTAAAGTCGACACTCACTCTTAACACTCAGGATGGAAGTATTGTTCTGTGTTTTACCACCCCAAAAGTTGACACTGCAGACAATTTCATCTTTCTTTTCGTATCCAGTTGGAATGAAGGTCACAGTGGACACGGTTTCCCAGACGCCTCCACCCATGGGATTGTGGCTGATAGTTTCTCGGGCTGTTGGGACGCTCCAGCTGATTTTGGGAGGGTGAGAGGAGCACGTGTGGTTGACTGAGCAACTGACGGTGACGCGTGTCCCGGGATCGATGTCTTCAGGGAGGGATGACATCACAGGTTTGTCAGGAGAAGCTTTTCAGCAAGAAACACAAAGATGCTATATTATGAGATGTGATGCATCTTTAAAAGTGTTTTAAAAACCAATAATGAGTGGTTATATTTCCTCACCCCGCATTATAATGAACACACAACTGTTGTTGAAACCGTATTTCTCGTTTTCTTTTTCTGCTCTGAAGCAGAATGGGCCGTTGTCATGAGTTTGCACATTATCCATCTCCACAGTGCAGTTCTGCTCCTCCGGGTTTCCCAGGAGCCTTGTGCGGCCTTTGAAGTTGTCTAAGACGTCATGTGAGTCAGTGTGGAACATATAGCCCCCTTTTTTGGTGACCCAAAGAACGCGAAGTCGAGTGGCATATTCTTCTTCCGTCTTGAAACTGCAGGGTATTACCACACAGGAACGAGGCAGCGCAGTGATCTTGGGTATCACATCAGCCTCATATTGGAAATGAGCTTAAATTATACCATATAATTAATTAATCAATAGTATTACGGAATGGAAAATATCATTAGTATAAATGTGATAGCTATTGGGCAAAAAAAAACATACTTTCATTCTGGAATGGATTCATTGGTTTTTGATACTCTGTAAGAGAATCAGTAGAAATCAATAAGCTTAGGTTTTTTCAAGTTTTTGAAATTTATGATTTTTCTTTAAATTAAATGCAACATTTTAGCCTTCAGCGGTAAGTTCAGCCAAAAATGAAAATTATCCCATAAGAAGTTCTTCTTTCAGCCAAACACAATCAGAGTTATATATATATAAAAAAAAAATATCCTGGCTCTTCCAAGCATAAAGCAAGTGAACAGTAACGTCCTGGTTGTGTGTGCAACCCACTGCTCACTGAAGGAGGGAATAGAGGATGTAGTCGATGGTCGACTGAATGGGGATTGTGTCAGAGAGCCTATGTTCTCTGAGTACTTGAGTAACTGAGATTTTGAAGCCGAAAGAAGCGCATCCATCCATCATAAAAGTAATCCATACGGCTTCAGGGGATTGGTCATATGCACTAAGGATGGCTTGAGGGTGAGTAAATTATGGAATTTCAGATTTCATTTTTGAGTGAACTAACCCTTTAGAAACATACTTTAGAAACGTTTCTAAAGTATCCCCCGCCCCCATTACTCACGCTGCACATGTAATACAACAGAAGCTTCAATGTTTCCTCCAGAAAATGTTGCTGTGCAAATCAGTTTCTTCCCATGTTCTTCTTTTGCACCCAGAAAGGTTATGTTGGAATTGGTGACCCGATCTAAACCAGAGAGTGTTTTGCTCTGTGTTGAGATCTGCATGTTCTCATAGTTCCATGTGATGGTTGGAGTCTCTCTCTGGCAGGAGTGATAGACCGAACATGTGAAGTTCTTTGCAACTCCCTCTGTGACCTCAGCCAGTTCAGGCTCAATTGCTATTTTATGATGAACACCTGAAATTAAAATGAAATATGTCCAATGGAGACACTTAAAGTGAACTTATCTTACAGCACAAAGCATATTTGTGTTCACTTACATTGTGCTCTTATGTCCTCTGTAGCTGTCACTGTTTCAACACCATGATGTTTTACAGAACATTTAATAGTCGATTGTTCTGCCTCAACGATACCTTTGCGTGTCAGGGTGATTTTCCACAATCCATCTTCAACATGCTCCTCCTTTATTTGGTCGATACCTTGAGTACCGTACAGTTTGATTTCTGGGGGTATTTTTGGACATGTGTGGTAAGTCGAACATGCTACTGTGATGGTGTCACCTGTCCTTTCACCTCCGTAAATAATAATGCTGGGCCGCTGTGGACTTGCTAGATGGCAGATATATTAGAATTAGAATAAAAGTTAAAAGCAAGTCAGTTTAGGAGACAATGTCACTGAACATTATTGACCAACACTTCCAGCCACAGATGTGCAATCACATATATTAAAGTAGAAGAATTTTATTTCAATAATATTTACATACCCTCAACAAGAATTGTAGAAGTGACATCATAAAATCGGTAGGTGCTCCGTCCAACATTTTCAGGGTCAATCCATGCATATATTTTTTCTCCATGGTGGGACTGTTCCAGGTTTTTGATCAGCAGACTGCAATCCCAACCCAATGTTCCATATAAATCAGTTTTTCCTCTAAATTTCTCAATGACATCATATGGATACCATGGATCATAAACTAAAGGATAACCATGAGAGACCCACTGATACCACACAACTCTACGTGGGTCTTTGGGTGGGTTTGTTGTGTAAGAGAAAGAACATGGTATAACCAGACAGGAACCTTGGAGGCCACGGATATCTTTCGGCATTCTCACTTCCCATCCCAAAGCAACATGCAGAAGAAATGCTGTGGGACAAAAGTTGGAGAACATTAATAGCTGAATGGAAGGTAAAGTCTGTTTTCAAAAATTATTAAATACCTAATTAAAAAATCACCCCATGACATTTAGACGGTGCCCATTGGGGTTGCATAATATCACAGCCCACAGGCAAGGCAAAAATCATCCACACAACCCCTTCCTCTGATTATATAAAATGGGCACATTTCAAAATGCTTATTTTGCTTGTAGCTTGACAGTCCTGTAAGAGGTTTGGCTGGGTTTATAAATAATTAAATTAACATTATATTTACTTTGGGAATTCGGAAACAACCTTGCATATTACCAACTGTGTTTGTCTGAAGGCCTGTACCTGCACTGTACACTGCAATATTTAACATTGTTCAACTGCAACTCATCTAATACGTAAACAATATTTACATATTAAATACAAATTGTTGTATTTTTAAATGCACAAGAGAGTCAATACATGAAGAGAAGGAAATAGATTCTATACCTTGTAAAAACAGTTTAAGCAGAAGAGGTCCCATCATGTTCCTGGGTTTGCCCTTTAGTAAAAACAAACATAACCTTTTGTTGTGCGCAAAAAAATAAATAAATAAATAAAGGCAAGAACATATTCTGTCCAATAGAAATACATCAGAAATCATAGTATTGACCACCCAGAATAATGTGGGCTAAATGGAAATTATAACACAATACAATACAATATTTAATATGATTTCCATTCTTACCTACTGTACTTAATGCCGTCTCTTAAGAAAGTAAGTGGATGTATGAAAAGATATGAGAGACTGGGAGAAAAATAAAAGCACTGTTCGTTTTGTGAGAATCATTCTCAGGAGGCGTGAACTAAGTTTTTATAACATACTGGTTCAGAGACAAGCATCGATACAGGCATATATATACATTTTCTTCCAAATAAGGCTGTTTCTTGCAGTTGTGCACAACATGAACAAATAATGGCCATTCATAGCCAACAGTGACTACTGTTGTACACACCCTAAAATATATCTTGACACAATCAAATTTTTCGAGCTCTGTTATTTCAAGTTACTGAGGAGACACATTTGACGTCTTGTTTTGAGGCAGTATTTTCTTAATAAACAACCTTTAGATGTAAATAAAGAAAAAAAATGTCCTAAAAGTATCCTGAAATCACCAAAACACCGGATATCTTTTTTTTTTTTTTTTGTATTATGTTTTATAGTGGACACTAGTTCATTTATGTAAATGAGGACAACAAAATTAAGTAATCTGTGATATTATACCAAAAATTCTTAATGCAGTGGACTCTCAGAAAAAAAATGTTAAAAATTTCGGAACAGAAATGATCATCATTATGACACTTTGACCTGATGTTTTCTTGACATAAAATATGTAAACTCTTGATACATTGTATTACCATTTTTAATCTATATGGAATAAACTGTGATGAAGTGAGAAACGTTGAAGGTGTCTGAATAATTTTTGCTTTGGTCCCAACATGAAATGAGAGATATGTTGTTTATTTGTGGTGGGACAGGTGTGGTGGTATGGGTAGGTTTAAGGGAAGGTTAAGGTGTGAGGGGAGGGTCAACTTTGTAATTACAAATGTAATTACATTAATTAATTACGGCTGTAATTACGTGTTTTTCAAATATAAGTACAATGTAAAAACATGTATGTACACAAGAAAGTCATTTTAATTGGGCTTTTAAATTGCAGGCAAATCATTTTAACCAGAAACATCCAGAATTTAAGATAGTATATGGCATTCTTGATCTTGGCAATCATATTCTAAAACCACTTGCCCAAACAGAGCAGCAATCACATTCAGAAATGCAGATGCCAAAGAGTAACAGTGTATGAATTGCAGTGCACTTTATTAAACTTTTAATAAACTGTATGGTACAAACAACATCAAGATGCTATTTACATTTGAGTATTTTTGGTCAACAGTGTTAATGGGGGTCAAGTTACATGGGGTCTGCAAATTATCTCAAAAATGAAAATAAACACAAAAATAATATTAACTTTTAGCTACAGTTCAGCTAAATGTCTCTCACACATTAAAAAAGTATTTTAGTTCTATATGACTTGTGTATATTAATAATGTCGAACCTAACTCTTAATCCCAAAAAAGGTTCTAAGTAAGGAATAACTTAAATGATTGGATAATACTTTCATGATTAATGGGTTATTTCAATGGTGATAATGTATGTTTGTGAGCTGTTTAATTCATTTTATTTTATTCATTTTTTCAAGTCCAAAAAATGATCCACTGATGGGAACCTCTAAAAGGTAAGCACCTGACAGAACCCTATACAGTATAACTTTTTAGACAAAAGACAATCGAATTCAAAATAATCGGTTATGTTCTATATGTTCATGCTGTGGTGCAATGTGTACAGTGTATGAGCGGTGTAGCCTAAGCATCATAACAAAGTATGTAAATACAGTAATATGGTCCTGAATGCAAACATGTTTAGGCAATTAAGCCCGGCTTAAAATGCAACATTCAATTTTTGGTTAATAACAGGACTGCCTGCTCTCAGGATCTCTGACAGAAGATGTTGATGTGAAGTCTACTGTGTTCATTTGGGATGGCATTTTCATCAGATATTTCCATACAAGTTGAGGTCTGCCGTGTTGGTGTAATCATCATCAAAACCATCACCCTTGAAATGAAAGATTTTAAAAAGAGAGATGTAGAAGTACCATTAGACAGGCAATATCAGACATGCTATGAATCAAAATTTATTAGATAAAATATATGTATGATCTACAGGACTAGAAATCAAACACTTAGCATTTAACAGCTGTTCACAGAATAAAGTATATACTCACAGAGCATTTGGCCTTGCTGAGGTGAATCATGTGAAAAAAAGAATTTTGAAATAAATAAATAATAAAAACTTGTTTAAATGATTGAGCAAACCAATTCATTTAACCAACTATGTTTATGTTATATTATGAATCTATTCAGACACTGATATTTAGTTCAAATGCTCTGTACCTCTTTGGTGACGGCATACGAGGTTTGTCGAAAGCCTTGTTTCCTGACACTGTACATACATTGTTTGCCCTGTTACGATTCAAAAAACTCCATCAGACTTAAGTAAAAGATAGCTTTACATAAATTGACCCTATAGTAAAAGTTGCTCATGAAAAAAACATACTTATATATATTGAATTAACTGTCCACAACACATGGGAATTATCAGTTATGCATTCCCTGAAAGAATAACCCATGACTTTAGCAGTGCTATCACCAAAATCTACTATTTTTCAAAAAAAACAATTAGTAGCATCAGACCTTCACAATTGTTTTAATAATGTGTTAAAAAAAATCTTTGAGGGTGATTTAATTCAAAAAGAAAATCATACTAAAAATGCAGATACTTACCTTTTGTCAAAATCCCTGTCAATTTGATGCCCTTGGCCTCTCCTTTAAAATGTTAAAAGATCAGATCAGCAGAAGATATAGTTCCATGTTTAATTAAAAATGTGCAGGTGTGAAAATGGCATTTATAGCTCTAATCAATGTTTTAGATGCATGGAACTCATTTACCTTAATATGTGTTTTGACGGCACAACATTTATTCAATTTGTTCATCAAAAGCTTTTTTTTTATTTTTTTTAGCAGAAACCAAGCTCAAATAGCATATATTATTTGCAAGGACACTAAGCAAGATGATGGCCTTAACAGTCAAAAGATGAAGTGTGTGGATACCTTGAAAATCTACTCCAAACAGACCTCCTAAATAAAAAAAAAAGGAACAGAAAAATGCAAATGAGAAAAATATCTTGACATATCTTCATTTACAGATTAATTGTGGACATGCCACCCACAACTGTATCAAAAGAGAGTGTAGACATTAACTGATACAAGCTATTAAAGCGGTAGTGAAACTTTTCAATTTAAAAATAAACTTTGTGTTAGTGGCTTATGAACATGATGAAGATTCTTCCACAATAACAGAGCTGAATATAAATGTAAAAAAAAAAAAAAAAAAAAACAGTCCAGGGGACTTTTTCAATATCTAAAGACAAGAAACACAAAACAGCTTCTGACTGCTTGAAAGTGTACAATTTAATGATAAAACAATCTTCTGCACTGTATTGGCTTTGCTTACAATTTAGACTCTAAAAAGTAACAAACATTAATACTGTGTTCATTATTCAGTGACATTTACAAGAAAAATGTGTTGATTCTAGACATAAATCCAGACATAATTTAACTGCTAATACTTCTCAAAATTGCAAACAAGTCAAAGTTAAAAGCAATTAATGGTGTATTTATTTAAACAACATTGTCAGGTATAGGAAATACACAGAAATTGAATATAAACTAATAGGTACCACTATAGGGTTAATTAGTTCACGTATAACTAACGTGACCTAACAATGAGCAATACATTCGCAGTATTTATTAATCCTCATAATCCTTGTATTCGCAGTATTTATTAATCCATAGACTAGATAATAAAAAAATACAGCTGTTCATTGTTTGTTCACGTTAGTTCACAATGCATTAACTGTCGTTAACAAATAAAATCTTTGGTTTTAATAATGTAATAGTAAATGTTAAAGTAAAATGATGAATAAATGCTGTTCATACTTATTTCATGTTGAAGGTATTTAACTAATGAAATTTATTTTAAAGTGTTACCAACTAGTAAAATAACACTGCAGTCTTTACTGTATAAATTAAATACAGATGAATCATTATTAACCTCCTGAGACCCTGCGTGCACATACGGGGACATCACATTTTTGGTTCTGTGCAGCATAATACTTAATTCTGTGTGACTGGAACATGTTTTTCACAAACGAGGACACTTACACTGCCATCTGGTGGCGTCAGAAGAGAAAAAAAATTAACATAAATAATTTAAAGATGGCAGAGAAAACAGGTCACATGTCACGCAGCCACTCCAGACCAAAACTTCCACAAGGTAAACAATCTAATAACATTTCATTGTTGATTCTTGTTAAGTTATGCATAATAGTGTTGTATGTTTGAAACGGCATGCACATTTGACAAAATTTTGTAAAAATAAAGATTTACCAAGCTGCTAAAGTTGATGTCCCCATATGTGGACATTGGGACTAAGCTTCGTTGAAACTTGCAAAAAAAATGAAAATTTGTAGTTGCATTGAGCTTCGTGGCAGGCTCACACACTCGAGCGCGCGCACACACACACACACTCAACGGGGCGGGGCTTCACTCACGATCGCGCATGCACACATACACACACTTGCTCACTCGCACACACACACACACACGCGCGCTCTCTCTCTCTCTCTCTCGCTCGCTCACTCACTCGCTATCGCTTACACACACTACTCACTCGCGATCGCGCGCACACACACACACACATACGCTCTCTCTTGCTCGATATCCACCGTGGTGGAGCTCTGAAAATCAAAAAATCCCCTGAAAAAGATGGGCTGATTTTTAGAATTGCGCATCCAATGGTGCACCTCTCCTGGGCACGAATAAAGCCCATGGAGGGTTCAGGGGCAACAGTTACACAGTCTTTCACACCGGTTAAGTGTGATCCACTGTTCCCACAGATAAAAAGAACATTTCTAGTTTGGAGAAGCAGAAATTTTGGAGCATTGCAAAAAAGAAATCAAATTTTCAATTTGTTTTGGATATGTTTTTTTATGTGGATATTATATATTATTATGGATATTATATTTCATTATTATATTTATTTTGTTTTTCCATATCAATTTTCAGAAGTTATGCATGCAAGAGTAACAATAAAAAATGTTCAGGCACAATGCTCATGCAGTAAAAAAAAAATAGATTTGCACTTTTTTACACAATGGTGTATTGATTGTTTTCTGTGCATACAGACAATTTTTTGTTTTTTGTTTTTTCAAAAAGTGCTTCATGTTCAAATATAATATCTGGTTATATTTCTTGCTCCCTCCTAACCCCAAAAAGCTAAGAAATCTAAAAGCACACCAAACCAAAACTCAGGTCTCAAGTAGTTAAGATAGACCCACTGTCCTTGCATGAGGACATCATTTTATGCAAAAACTACTTCCTGTACAAAAACAAATTTTAGTTATTATACTTATTAGGTCCTACTTGTCCCAAATAGCAAGAAAAATTATAAAATGCACACCAGGCAAACTCTCGGGTCTCAGGAGGTTAAAGCTATTATTCAATCAGCAGTGTGTGATTTACCCTTTTTTTTTTTTGGTTTGTTGGATTGATGACAAACTTCAGCTTGTTTATTGTCTGCTGTCACTTTAAGACATGAAGTGAATCTGACATCCGATTTTCTCCCAACTCTTTACAGTCATTTAACAAAATGGGCATTTTTACATCATTTTGTATGTTTATGTCTGTATGATTTTGCATTTTGCTTGCATGATTTAACATTTTGGTAGAGTGAATTAGCATCCTTTTAGCATGAATTAACATGTTTTAACATGTTGCTAACATTGATTAAAATTTTACTAGCATGTTTTAACATATTGCTAACATTATTGAACACTTTGCTAACATGAATTGGCAGATTTCAACACATTGATAATGTTTTAACGTGTAGTTAGCATGTTGATTAGCCTGGGGAAACCCAGACAACTTCTGGCAAATTTAGATTTAGATTTAGAAAGAGCTAGCTCATTCAAGCCCATTTCTAATCCGTTGAAATCGCGGCACCAATCAGAAACGTTGGGGCGGTCTTTACAGACGATGGTGGAGCAGATTTTGTACAAAGACGGATGTCGCAGTGGAACTAGGGTTGTAACAGTTATCGTTGAACAATATCATCATACCTCTGTAACCGCCAAAACCATGTTATTATTAAAATATTTTTTTTTTCCACAAATGTTTTATCATAGAGAATGTTTAAATACTAATATTAGCTTACAAGGGAAACAGAGGCGGAGTTAGTGGTGCTTCGGAGGCTGCTACTACCCCAGATAGCAAACTGACATTGAATCAACATGGAAATATGACATCGAAACAACGTTGATCTGACATTGTTTTGCTCATCGAATTAACGTTGAACCAACGTCAGACGCGTCATTCTTTCAAAACTAACGGAAAATCAACTTGAAATCAACGCGTTGTTTCAACGTTATGAAAGCAAACCAATTTCCGATTTTCATTTAGCTTTGAAGAATGCCGCGTCTGACGTTGGTTCAACGTTAATTCGATGAGCAAAATCAACGTTGTTTCAATGTCATGAGAGACGTCGTTTCCACGTTGATTCAATGTCAGTTTGCTGTCTGGGTACTGGAGATGGTTCGGCAGAGGTCTGAAATCTCTGCCCCTTTACCGATCAGGGGTGCATTTCCCGAAAGCATCGTTAGCCAACCATGGTCGCAAGTTCCTTCGTTATCAGCATAGTTCAACGAGTCGGTGTTTCCCGAAACCATCGTTCCAACGAACATTCGCAAACAGCATCGCAAAGTTGTGTAGTTTAAACGACAGCTCTCGACCTGTGGTTAGAGGCATCGTTTCTATATTGCATGACATTTGGAGGTAATCAATCCTTATCTTTTGAGCACATCTATTATGAGCAAAATAAGCAAGCTGACATTCAGTACAACCGGTGTCTTTTATTTAGAACACATACAAATGGAATTTACATCTTTTAGATTTGAAGTAACGTGTTTAAAGAGTGTGTATGTGCAAACGTGCTCTACTATGTAAGAACGAGCCAAATATTGAGTCTGGTAATAAAGCAAAACAACTGAGAACAATTAGAAATAGTCCTCAGATGACATGTCTTTAATGTATATAAAACAAATCTAGCGTTAATTGGATCTCAAACAGTTTCATTAAAGGTTATTACTCCACCACGTGCGAAACCAACGTGGTTGAACGATACTTTGCGACAGTGGGTTTCGGGAAACAGCCGTGACTAGCTAGTTGATTTTTCCAACGATGCATCGTACTATCGTAGTGAATCAGCGAACTACGTCGTTGTACGGGAAACGCACCCCTGAGCGTATGCTGACGCGGAGTAAAGCCTTGTTTATACTCGATGCGTCCGCACGAGCGCTAAGGTGCGTGCGGCAAAAATAACACGTTCTGTGCGCAAGACCGACAAGACCCCATTTTGCTTGGCTGTGTGCACGTCTTTTTTTGTTACAGTGTGTGCGGCGCCGCATCCGAGAATGACCAACTTCAAAAGCCGAATCTTTCCGAGAATGTAGGCTACTAAGTTTCACCGCACCAGCACCCAGTTTGCGCGTCTAAATCGCAAAGTTTATTGCAAAGTTTTTTTTTTGATAGGGTTTTGTTCACTGTGTTTCATTTATTTATTGGAAGGCACATTCACTTCTAGTTGTCTTTCTGTTAATTTTAAATAAACATAGAGCAAGTAGCTAATCAGTGTCTGCTTGTTTATTAAAACTAAGTTGTTCTATGACAGACGAACGTCACTTTGCATACTGTACGTCATCTCATTCATCGCTCAGGGGTGTGTTTCCCGAAAGCATCGTTAGCCAACTATGGTCGCAAGTTCCGTCGTTATCTGCATAGTTTAACGAGTCGGTGTTTCCCGAAACCATCGTTCCAATGAACATTCGCAAACAGCATCGCAAAGTTGGGTGGTTAGAGGCATCGTTTCTATATTGCATGACATTTGGAGGTAATAAATCCTTATCTTGAGCAAAATAAGCAAGCTGACATTCAGTACAACCGGTGCCTTTTATTTAGAATACATACAAATGTAGTTTACGTCTTTTCGTTTTTCAAAAGATTTGAAGTAACGTGCTTGAAGAGTGCGCATGTGCGAATGTGCTCTACTATGTAAGAACGAGCAAAATATTGAGTCTGGTATTAAAGCATAACAACTGAGAACAATTAGAAATAGTCCTCAGATGACATGTCTGTAATTTATATAAAACAAATCTAGCGTTAATTGGATCTCAAACAGTTTCATTAAAAGTAGTTATTACTCCACCACGTGCGAAACCAACGTGGTTGAACGATACTTTGCGATAGAGGGTTTCGGGAAACAGTCGTGACTAGCTAGTTGATTTTTCCAACGATGCATCGTTCTATGGTAGTGATACAGTGAACTATGTCGTTGTACGGGAAACGCTCCCCTGATTAGTTTTAGGTCTATACAACTGCACCCGGAGGCATTTGATCTACGTCTGTTGGTGACGCCCTTTTAGAAATGATTTTTCTATGAACCTTTGCCAGACCATAACTCCGTTACAGCTGAGAATGGTCTGTTTTTAACCAGACTACATGTTGATAACATTATATAGCATTTTATTAACATGAATAAGGATTTTGTTGCCATAAATTAGTATGTTGCTAGAATGAATTAGCATGTTGTTGGCGTGAATTAGCATATTGCAAGCAAACATTAGCATGGTTTTAGCATGAATTAGCATGTTGCTAGCATGTTCTGAGGTAATTGCTTTGCTAGTGATTGATATGTAGTAGATAAAGCTTAAATACATAGTTATTGTGTTACATTTTTGACCCCCTTAATGAGGGGTTTTCATGATTTTTAATCTTCATTTTTCATCTTCCAGACGGGTCAGTTTCAAAAGACAGAGTCACCCAAGTCAGAACAGTCTGAAGGTCTGACCTGATTATAGAGGCTATAGAGTTAAAGCTCTAGGAGAAGTACAGTAAATAAGATACAGTAAAACATTATATTTATTGTCGTAGTATAATTATGGATCAATTCCCAGATTCAGTAGATGATTTCCACTAGATGATTTGTTTTGTCCTGGTTTGTTGCAGAAGAGCGCATTAGAATCTGTTGTGTACTTGCCTCTGCTCTCTGCCACCTGGGCCACTGCTGCCTTCTCCTGAACGAAACCTGTTGGTCACATACACACACACAAAGTCAATGATTTAATTCAGATCAAGTTTATTCATAACTGATGGAGGTTGATAAATTATTCAATGCAGATGGTAAAAATAGATTTAAAAGTATACCAATTACCTGCGAGACATTCTTGATAGTCGACTCCATATTCTAAAAAACATTTAAAATTTAAGATTATCATCTTTAGTATGACAATCAGGATGACTTTTTAAATTCAGTTACATTGTTCACTAAAAGGTTATTATTGTTATATCTTAACATATTCTAATTAGTAACTGTGTTATTAGATTGGAAACAGATCTGTGCGCTTTAATCAGCAGGAAGCATCTTAGCACAATGTCCTTCCTCTCTCCAACCTAGTCAGATCAGACATGCACTTTTTATCCTCTCTTTATTTTTTCATAACAGAAAAACACAAAGAATGCCAAAATATCAATATGGAGTAGTCCAGTATTTTGTAGAGGGGGGTGAAGAAGGGGGGTGATATTTTTTTTTCCTGTAGGAGAACTCATAAATGGTATTAACCCCAGTGACGGGTAGGTTTAGGGATGGGGTTGGGGTAGCTCATATATTTATATACAGTATACAGTAATGTAATGTTAAGTCAGCCCAGTCTCATCCCAAGACGTCATTTAACTGACGTCTTTGGACGTGTTTTGACCATACATCAACATCCCCCTTTTTAGGGTACCCTTAAACGTTGGTTAGATGACGGAACCTAACCCTACCCCAGACCTAAACCTACCCCGTCACCTAACCGACGATAAAAGTAAAGCGTCAGTTGTATGACGGCCCGGGATCGTCATGTAACCGACGTTTAAGGGTACCCTAAAAAGGCGGATGTTGACGTATGGTCAAAAGACGTCCCAAGACGTCAGTTATATGACTTCTTGGGATGAGACTGTGTTAGTTAAGTCAACAGCGTTCATAAACACGCTGAAAAGCCATTTCATGAGATCAGTCTGGCATTATATGCCAATGGCGATGCTAAAAATGTGAAAAGGCAATTCTATTTTTTCCCCAAACTCTTTATACCGGTAACTCAAGACGTATTTAATATATCTTTATACCCTTTAAAAAACACAGCACAAGGTCTTATGAAAATAATTTTTTTCAACAAGAATAAAATAAAAAAACAAAAAACAAAAAAAACAATCCTAAACAAAAGCCTATTAGGCTTCAACAGATTTGGTTAAATTTAACAAAAGCAAAAAGTATTTATGTAAAAGTATATTTTAAACAGTATATAATAAACTTTTAGAGCAGAAAAAATTGAAAATAAAAATTCATGGGGTTCCATACAGAAAGAGTTTTTAAAAACATGGCTGTAAGAAAGGTGTGTGCCAGTGGCAGACAGTTTCAGAGACTGTTGGGTCTCATGGTAGCTGCGTCCAACTTAATAACTTTTGGCCTCCTGTACATGAGATGCCTAGAGTAGTGGCACAGAACCAAGGGGTTTTCTCCAATGCGATTTTTTTTTTTTCATGATCAAGGTCACACGGCAATGCCTATGTGACTTAATCATGTGAAAAAACCTTGGTTCCTCACCCAAGGCCCAGTGTTGGAGGCTTGTCATCGCGTATGCTTCCTTCACAGGTTGGGGGGCGATCATGAGTGGTCGCTTGGCACAGGGTCTGTTGCAGGACCATCTACTTTCTTAGCACATAAATCGGCTAGAAGTTTTGGTGGTGTTTCGAGCTCTCAAATTAACACAGTCTCACCCCAAGAAGTCATATAACTGACGTCTTGGGACGTCTTTTAAACATATGTCAACATCCGCCTTTTTAGGGTACCCTTAAACGTCGGTTACATGACGATCCCGGGTCGTCATACAACTGACGCTTTACCTTTAACGTCGGTTAGGTGACGGGGTAGGTTTAGGTCTGGGGTAGGGTTAGGATCCGATAACGTCATTTAACCGACGTTTAAGGGTACCCTAAAACGCCGGATGTTGACGTATGGTCAAAACACGTCCCAAGACGTCAGTTATATGAGTTATATGAGACTGCGCTGCTCAAACACTTCCTCCCAGACCCGAGGCGCCATCATTTGCTTGTCCACACGGGCAACAGATCGGTGGTCTTTTACATCAACCATCAGGGGGTCTGAGCTCAAGTCACTTCTCTTGAGGTCAAGACTGTTTCTCTCTTTCGAATGGGTTGATCTTTCACCCCCGCCCAGAATTGTGGAAACTTTGGACTTGGCTTCTGAGGGTGCCGAGCTCATAAGTTCAGGTCTGTCAACTGAGGTTGTTGAAACCATCCTCCACTACAGAGCTTCCTCCATGAGGAAACTCTACACCTTGAAGTGGATATTGTTCACTTGCTGGTGTGGAGAATCCTAGCTGGACTCAGTTATCTACCCTTTGGTTGAAATGCTGGAGTTCTTGCTGGAGCGTTTCTCCGCAGGTCTATCCCCCGCCACACTAAAGGTATACATAGCAGCCTTAGCTGCTTACCACATTCCTTTAAGTGGTGTATCCTTGGGGAGACGCCCTCTAGTAACATTTTTCATGGCACTGTGAGGCGTCAGACCAAGAGACTGGGAGTATGGCTGCTTCTAAAACATTATATTGAGGAGTCTTCTTCTAATACAGTATGTTTGTTATGGGGCAGGACGTTGCCTCACCGCACACATAAGTGAGGTTTTTGACCTTGACCTCAGCTCCACTCCAGGGGCGCAGGTGCTTTCGTCTTGGTGTGCGCAGAGATTTCACATGGACAGGCACTTGTTACTATGGCGTCGTGGGTATAGTGTTCAGAAGCTAGCACCGTCAGGTGTGCTTTATAGTTTCCTGGTAGAGGACGTCACCCGCCTATGATGTTGTGTCTCTCCATTGGATTGATTATAGACCATTTTGCAAGATGTAAACAACACTGGTCCTGAAACACTTCCTGTTTCAGTTTCACATGTAAAGAAAAAATCTTAAAGATGTTTGTTTAACTTTTTGATTCAGGTTTATATGTTCTGTTGGTTGTATTTTATCCCAGCTTTTATCTAGTGTTAAAAAACCTAAAAAGGAAGTGCTTCTGGACCAGTTTTGTTTACATCTTGCAAAATGGTCTATACACGTGCATTCATGCAGGTCCATTCCCACAGCGCCTCAATGCAGCGCCTCTTTCCCTGTTCAGGGAACCTGAGACAATAATTATGTCAGGTGTTGTTTACTGTTACACATAATCTGTTATTTTTGACTTCATTTTCATGGAATTTAGTTTGTTTCAGAAAGTAATCAGTCTCCTTAGTTCTAGTTCCCTACCTGAGTTTGTCTCTATGGTTATTGGTTATGGTTGTGATTAGTCATTCTCTCCGGCTGTGTGTTGTTAATTATTCTAGTTTGCCTGTGAATTTATCTGGCTGGGTTTTCAGTTCTCACTGTCGATTGTCGTTAACGGAAAAACTAAGTTTGGTTATGGTAATCTTTTTTTTTTTTTTTAATAAAGTCTCTTGTTAATTCTTCATCCTCGTCCTCTTCTGCCTACACCACACCTACCCTTCGTGACCGAACAACCAACCACAAATAGCAGCAAAATACCGCTTTAGCTCATGCAGAAAGGGCTTCCTTGTCACAGTGTCTGGTTGTGTTCCCTTGTTTTCCCTAGCGGTCCTCGTTCTCACAGTGTCCTTCACATTTGACTTCATTTCCCAGCATTCTGTCTGTCACTGTCACTCATCAGTTCATTGCACTCAGCTGTTCCCCATAATCATTGTTCCCAGCTGTTCTGTGTTAGTCTTTTTAGGTATATATTCCCTGTCTGTGTTAATATGTGTACAGAGTCGTTGTTAGATGTCATTGCACTTTATGGTTGATTTGTCTGTTTATGTTTTATTTCTTGTTTTGGACTGCTTTGATTATTGACCCCTGCCTGGCTGACTACGGATTTGGATTACCCTTGTTTTGGAATAAACTACTGCTTTTGGATCCTCTGTCCCCTGTTCGTGACATTCCTTTATTAGACTATGCATTTGAATTCAGCCAGCTTGCAGTCATCAGTGTCCCATTGTTCCCTCTGCCATTCGTCTGCACTCTGCACACTTTGGCTCCATTGCTTCTCTGATATATATATATATTTTTTTGTATAAATGCAAATGCAAAAACGTTATAGCTAAGAGGATTACTTCACCTCAAAATGAAAATTTCCTGTTAATTTACTCACCCAAATGCTATCCAAGATGTGCATGTCTTTCTTTCTTCGGTGGAAAAGAAATTCTATTTTTTGAGGAAAACATTTCAGGATTTTGGACACAATGGACAGATTGTGTCCAATCCCTGGCGTGTCGCAGACCAGCACACGATGACTTGTGGTTAAAAAGTATATAAATTTTTTTTTTGACCGATTGTTTTACTAAATAAGACCCTATTCCGAAGGCTGGGAACGTGAAGAGCCCTTTGAAGCACTTCATAGCCCTTTGAAACTACATTGATTTGGACTTCAACATGTTGGTTGCAATTGAAGTACATTGTGTGGAGAAAAAATCCTTAAATGTTTTCGACAAAATGTATTCTTTTTGAGTTGAACTAATCCTTTGAAGCTAAAATTAGACTTAGGTACTATAATGTTCCGCGGAAAAAATTGCTGTTAATACTCACCCATTGTCATTTCTGGATTGGAGATCCGCAATGCGCTTCCTAGGAAAGATTTTAGTGATATTAAACAAAATATTTCTGAAAGATACCAGATACCAGAATGTCTTAAATTTATGCAGTGTTTCTCAACTCTCCAAAGTCTTTGAGACCCAACTACCAAATTAAAAACGCATGAGTCAACTCATCAGCTTCCTTGTGTGTTAAACACCTAGGGAGACATCTAAATCATTCTGGCATGTGGGTCCCGAGGACTGGAGTTGAGTAATACTGTCATAATGTATTCTCAAATGATTACATTTAAGGTGCAGGATTTTAAAAGAATAAGAAAAAGTGAAAAAATATTTTTTTGTACTGAAGTGGCAACAGAATACTAAAGAGCACTAACAAAAAAGTGACTGTACAAAAAGCAAAGCAAAACGCAATATTTTCAGTACTTCTATCTTAAAAACATTAGACGACTGCTTATTTTGTCACTTGTAAAGATCTTCAGCAAAATACTACTTTTCAAAGTTGAACTTTGAATTTTGTTTGGAGTGCGGTTTATTATTTTATGTGTGTGTGTGTGTGTGTGTGTGTGTGTGTGTGTGTGTGTGTGTGTGTGTGTGCAGCCTGGTCTCATTGTTAATACGTAGCTATTTTACGTTTTTGCAAAGATAGAAAACGTACTTTTTAGTACGTTTGGATAGATGCTGAAACGTATAATATAGACGTATCTGCAACATTTAAACGTAACATTATTACGTTTTTACAGCTACAAAACGTAAACTATTTACGTATATTCTATATCATAAAGATATCTGGATAATTTCCCTTTTTACTATTTTATAGATAAATGTAAGATCCCGTAACCCTAATCCCAAACCTAAACATACCCATTTTATACTTAATATAAAAAAGGATAAAACGTAACATAGAGGTGTTGGGAAAGGGCAGTTTTATTAACAATATAGCATTAAAATATATTTTGAGCCACCTACTCCTACCCCTAAACCTACCATAACAATTCCTTAAAACTACGTAAAAAACTACAAATATGAAGAAAAACATAACTAACAGACAAGTATAATCACAATAATTTATTTATTGCGAAAATGTCAAAACCGATACCAAAAGCCGTTCACATGATGAAGCGTTGCAGTCGCAGTCTTCTCTCTGGCAGTATTGTAATAGTTTTGTATGAAGTACAGAGCAGAAATTAAATTACTAATGAAAATGTTAATCCGGCTTCGGTTGGTTCGCGCTTCTCCATTTCAAAATTCAAATGAACTAAACTAACCAACCGTCTACAGTCCTTCATGTCGCAAACTGTGACGAAGCAGGGAAGAGCCAATGAACGTTTGATATCGCTGCCGTAAAAGATGACGTATGGGCGCAATATTTGAATTTGAATTCATCACCAGCGCGGGGTTTGACATGTAACGTTACGGTCGCTGCTGAGAATGGAGATCACGACTGGATAAGAGGCTGAAATCGCTGAATTAGGAGTTGTTTCTTGCAAACAACTATGGATTCTAAAGATTTGGATTACATCAAACTATTAAAATTGATGTCTTTTGTGAATTTTTGTTGTGTTTTATAGGAGAAAACGCTTTATGTGTCTCAAGGTAAATAAACTATTACAAAATGGTTGAACGAGTAACGTTAAAGAATGTATTTTTTAAGGTTTTATAGTGTATTGTTTAACACCATGCAGGCGAAACGAGCAAAATGTTAACATTTATGAGTATTATATCAATAATGCGACTGAAAACTTCATTAATAAGACAGTGGGATGCAATAGAGTCAAAACATAATGCTACGATATTAATATCCATAAATTGTGATACGTACAATGTGTACGTCGGTGGATTTGTTCATACGTAAATAAATTACGTTTTTGTGCTGTCAATACGTAAATATTTTACGTTTTAGTACTGTAAATACGTCAGTATTATACGTTTCTGCGCATATAAAACGTAATTATATATACGTATGATAGAACGACACTTTACGTACACATACATACGTATTCTCATGAGATCACGTTGGTGTGTGTGTGTGTTTTAAAGAAACAAATTATACATCAAATATCAAATGTGTTTAGGAATGCATTTATTATAATTAGTCAATGATCTTATGCTAAAATCAGATCCAGACTCACTTGTATCTCTTGACAACGAAAAAACACAGTAATCCAACCAAAAGAGCAGCTCCAAGACCAGAGATGGCTGGTATGAGAATGTGGCTGAGAGTTGCTTGTTCTGTTAAAAAAACCAAAATCACTTAATTACAAAAATGTATTTATACTTATAACAACACAGTATAATTTTATTGTTATACCTTTCACAAAGATAGGGTGAGTGGCTTCCATTTCACCCTCAACATCCCCATGGTACTTGACTGTGCATGTGATAGAGGAGTGGTCATCCTCTTTTGTTGGGGTGAAGGTAAGGAGAGACTCTGCTTCCCATTTTCCATGATCAATGTGCTTGTAGCTCACGATGGTTTTTCCAGGGTGGTTCCAGCTGAGAGTGGGCTGATGGGACGGACAGGTGTGACGGACAGAGCATTTGAAGATTGTAGGTTGACCTTCTTCCACATACGTCTCAGCCTGCAACTCTGGTTTTGATGCTTTCTCTGTACATATATTTTGAATGACAGAAAACATATTTCACATAATAAAAAAAGCAAAAACTAGCTTATATATTAATTATTTAGTCACAAAAACATTTTTATGTGGGTGTTTTCTTATTTTGTGTCCTATAGCTGTTGTAATTATGGCTTGACAGCTCAAATGCACACTTACCAATCATTTTAATTGTCACACAGTTACCCACAAAGGAAAACTTGTCAGTTTTAGATGTCTCTAATTCCACCCTGAAACAATATGGGCCGTTGTCGTGGTTTTTGACATCATCAATCTCCAAGGAGCAGTTTGATTTACCCAGTGAACCAATCAGTTTAGTACGACCCTTGAAATTGTCTAGAACCCTTGTAGGATCATTGTGATAGATGTAATCTTCCCATTTGCCCTTCATGTGCCACATGCCTTTAGTACGACTGGAGGGCTGTTGTTGAGGAGGGTATTTGAAGGAACAGGGCAACACGACACAAGATGAGACCAGAGCATCCATTTCAGACTCTACCTGTACCTTCCAAACATCACCAAACACGACAGCACAAAGAACTGAAAAATAATATTTTTAATAAACTTTTTTTTCAAATGAACGAAATTATTCATAGAAATCTTTATATATATAAATATAATGTTATAACAAAACAAAAAAAAGTTTTAAAATCCTACCCTGAAGCCAGCAGAGAAGAACTCGTGCCCGTACACCCATGCTGGACTGGACTAAAGAGGAAAAACACAGCAATTGATCAAAAAATGCTACTGATTACTTTGTGCATACAACAATCTTTATCTAGGGCACTGGATAGGCTTTAATTATAGTGTTCATATATAAATACATATATTCAACCTGAGAGTTCTCAGGAGATAAAAACTGGAAATGCAAATGTATAATTTATTGATCATAGGCAAATAGATTCCGAAGACAAGGTTGTTAAGGAATAGCAAACTGAATCAATAAACCCGTTTCCATTGCAGTTTTGTGAAATATTCCTTTTTCGAATTGCCCGAAATACCTCCTCATGTGAGTGTAAAACCTTTTTTTGCGATAAACCAACGCATTCTCATCCTTTAACGTCATATAGAACGCTATATGCAAAAACGGCGCTATACTACGCACATGGCACCCTTTATTGTTAATATAACACACGCTGTGAGGGCTAAGTTTAGGTGTGGGGTAGGGTGTGCGTGTCATATTCACGCTAAAGGATTTGTGACGTCTTGGGTTCGGGTGTTATATTAATGATAAAGGGTGCCATGTGCGTAGTATAGCGCCGTTTTTGCATATAGCGTTCTATATGACGTTAAAGGATGAGAACGGGCTGGATAAACAGGAGTTTGAAGGGTAATGGAAATGCGGGTAGTGATTACTTAAAGCAAATGCAAAGGGAATATGAAATTCATAGAGTCAAGCAGAAGAGAAACATGGACAAGTCTAACATCATTAATCATAACATTTGTCTGTGCTTATACTTCACAAGCAACAGTGGAAGAACTAAAAAAAAGTTAAGATAGATGGAACTCGCTTAAGGGCCTCACGTATTTTTTATTTAATTTTTTTGAGGTTGATACAACCTGTTTTAGTTCTACTATAACAACAAAATGACCGTTACATCTGCAAAACAATAATAAAATAAAAAATAATATTGTGCTACATGCATCTAATATGAATCATACAGGCAAAACATATGATCAGTCAAATTTTAGGCCTATATAATAATGGAAATGAACTTCATCCGTATACCAGATGATATTGACAGATTAACATATTAAATATTTGAAGTAATACAAGGCAGTAACTCTTTTTATGTTTAATTTGGAATTTTCTTATTCCTCACATAAAATTTCATTAAAAAATTGTTTTTAGATCGAAATATTATCACTATGTTTCTAATCATAATGATGATCTCGATTATATTATTTATAAAAAGAAAGCGAGCCTACCTTATTTTTCAGTGTGTAACTGGTGCCCCTTTGCTGACTGAAAGACTTGACTGAATTCTAATGCAAACCAGAGATATAAATGGCCTAAAAAAACAACAGGAAGTACACTGTCACCGACAGATTTCTGAGAATTTGTCAGACTTTTATTTCATTTCTCATTTTTTTCATGCTTCCCTTGAGGATTTTGAGCATCAGAGCAAAGTTCAGAAGAAGAAGAGAATGATTCTTTATGACTTGATCAAAAACAAACAGCAACTTGCATCTTCACTTTTCCAGATTTTCTCCAGCTGCTTTACTAGACCTTTCATTAGAAGATATAATGTAGTTTTATCTGGCATCTAGAACTACTCAACACTTTTAACCATTCAACACCAATCATGTTAAGTCCTCTAACAGCTCTCTAGTAGACAACAGGAATCTGGAAAAAGAAAATCTGGAAGTAAAAATGAGCAGACTTTGTCTGATCAGAACAGATTAAACCTGTTTTCTTAGACAATGAAAAAATACTGCTTCACAAAATTGTCCTGTAATGTTAAAAACCTTGAAGTGGAGAGAAAAAAAAATGTGAAAAGTTGTTATTTTTTTTATTTATTTAGCAAACATGTAACCCCGCATACATTCTAAACCTTGACCATCTTATAGGTGCAGTGTGTGGGGCTACATGAAAAGATGATGTCATCTGAGACAGCTGAGAGTAGCCTGTTAAAGGGGTGGTTGATTGCGATTTCATCAGGAAGTTTATTTTGAATGGGTCTCATTTGGTTTGAAATCCGATTTGGATTTAAATAGGGATGAGTGACCTCGGTCACAGAAGACCTGACAGCTGGATGAACATAACACATTTTTGACGAGCCGCAGAAATATGACCATGCCCTTTTTTGCATATTCCGGAGGGAGGGTTGATGTAAATGTATGGGTTAGTGACGTCTAAAACCCGCTGTAGTCCCATTCGAGTCGTTTTTGTAGGCATTAAACTTCCTGTTTTTTGTTGAAAAACTATATCTTTGCTTACACTGAACTTTCAGCGCTGCAACTTCGCAGATATTCTTCATTCACCAACAGCAAGACTACACACTATTTAAAAGTGAAATTGCAATCAACCACCCATTTAGACAGGTGAGTAAATGTACATAAAACAAATCAATGTTATATAGCATTAACTCAACATGCTGAAATGTTAGAATATGGTCAGTAGCCTGGGTGTAGCAATCGAACTGACACGTAGTATAACATTATAACTTTCAACACACATTTAAATGCTGTTTAGTGTGATGTGTAACATTAGACCAAGTGAAGCAGTGCTTTGTTACCAGACAAGTTTAATTCGTCTAATAAACTGACCTCTGTGAGTAATCCAGCACTTGCGGGTAGTTCGGTAGAATTAAATGTTCGTATTCCTTTATATCCGCAGGACTCGCGTGTGATGTATGTCTCTTAAAGGGATACTCCACTTTTTTTGGAAATAGGCTCATTTTACAACTCCCCCAGAGTTAAACAGTTGAGTTTCACCATTTTCGAATGCATTCAGACGATTTTCTGATATTTAGAAAAATATCAGTAACCAGACAGTACCTGGTCTCACTGACTCCAGAAACTGTCTTGTTACTGATATTCTTCTGTTTAACTATTTAACTCTGGGGGAAATGAGCCTATTTCCAAAAAAAGTGGAGTACCCCTTTAAGCAATCGCGACCTGCTTCATTCCACTGCATGTTAAAAAACATGAATGTTTGCACTCATCCATAAACATTATTATATCCATCAGCTTGACCGCAGGTCTCATCATTCAGCTCATCAAAAAACTTAACTTAAATAACATAAATAAACTTAACTTAAATGTAAATAATAATTATTGTATTGTCTTTATTTTTTTTCTTAGTGGCTCACCTCTCAGGCAAAGGAATATCAAGGCTTCTGTTGGCCGTGGACCCAGGAAGAAATATTTGGAGAAATGAAAAGCTCACTAAGGATTTCCCAGATGACAAAGTCGTTTACAAGGACACCCTGAGGAAATAAGCATTGGAAAGTACTGTCAAAGAAAGAATTCAGTGTGGCAAAAAGTTAACCTTACGAGAGGAAATCTTATCTGTTACTGCCATCTGCCGTCAGCTCTGGAGCATGAGCAGGAACAATTTTCAGTGCAGAATTGGGAAATATGCAACCCTGTCTTTGTGGAGGAGAACAAACCATTAAGCAAAGAGTATACTGACTTCTAGTGGAGAATACCAGTATATCTTGAAACTGTAGCTTTGTGTGATTTATAACATAGTCTGTTTCTTAATTCAGAAAAAGATGCTCCACCCAAATCTTCAAATCTCTCCGGGGTAGATCCTGTTTGACCTTACATGTAACTTCCCCTTTTTTCAGTGAAGTAGTGCATGAATTTTGATGAATTGTCTGCACTACTGCAAATTATGTCTGTCACAAGGCCAAAACAGAATTTCAAATATATATTCAGGCCACCGAAGTGACGACTGTTTTTACACCAGAGGCTAGCCTCGAGAGGCTGGTTCCCTTAGTAGAATATTTATCGGAATGGAAGATTCTGCCAAATATATCTCAATGGGTCCTGCATATACCACAAACGAGTTAGCCTACTAGGAGTGCTACTTGGGTGTTGAGAAATATGTTCCTTTGGTGCTCTTCAGTTTGGATATCCAAAATGTTTCTCAAATAAACAGGAAGTCTGAGGCAATCAAAAGGAATATACGTTTTAAAAGCCTTTATTTAAAGGGTAACTAAACCCCTGGTCAGAGCCTGACTCCACCCACTGGCAATATTTGAAAATACTGAAAAAGTGGGCAGACCCCAGCGGAGATAGAGGGGACGAAATAGATGCTAAAACACTCTATCCTGGTCAACTTGGCAAAACGATTACAGCCTCATTTCCCCTACAATATCTTGGGAAACCATTTGGAATAACATTAACCAAGCTTCTAAAAATCCCAATCATAGATCTATTCATTTATGATTTGTATTAACACCCAGAATTAGACATTTGATCAAATTAGAGTCATCTCCACTCTGTCAACTGTGCTCACAGGGCAGTATAGGTACTTTTCTTCACATGTTTTGGGAATGCTCTGAAGTACAGTCCTTTTGGTCACAAGTCACTATGTTTTTATCTGAAATTCTTAGTAAGGAGATTCCTTGCTGTCCTCTTTTGCTTGTTAAATGATAATTCTCAGGTTCCAATGTCTAGACATGAAAAAAGAATTTGGCTTTCTGGCTTAACTGCTGCAAAGAAAATGCTGGCAACAAGGTGGAAACCACAACTCTTTCGTTACATCATTGGTGGAACTTGCTGTTAGACATTCTTGCGTTGCAGCTTTCTGCGGCACGTTCTCATGGTGCTAAAGGGCAGACCATAAGGTCTTGGTTAGAAGCTCTCAAAGCTACTAAATTTCTTGCCGGAGGTGGTGGTGTGTGTGTGGGGTGGGGTACGGTAGATCACTCAGTAGGGAGGGTAGGGGGGGATTAGATAAGGTAAAAATTGTTCAATTTTATGCATATTCTTGTGTGCGTTGGAGTGTTGTTGTTGTGTGTGGGTAGGTCGAGGTGAAAATGTGTGTGTACGTTGTGTTTCTGGTGTATATGTATGTTGGTGGTGAATATGTATATGTTTGTTAATATGAAAGCAAATAAAAAATAAAATAAAAAAATGTTCAAATTGATTTATTCTCCAGATACAACAAATGCATATTTAAAATGTTGCTTTAGCCTTGTGACAGACATGGTTTTCAGAAATGTGGTTCATCAAAATGGCTACAGCACTGACTATGAAAAAGGGGAAGTCACATTTTATGGACAAACAAGAACAACTCCTTAATGATTTAAAGATTTTTTTGGGAAAATAATTTTCTGAATTTGCACTGAGAGACAAAAATAAATAAATAGAATAATAAATAATGGGCTCTTTTGACCTAGACCCTGGCAACCACCCACCTTTTTCACAGGAAAACCACATCTCACATCTTAACACTTGTATTTCTCTTTCACCCAGTGGATGTCAATGTTTAACAGCACTGTTACAAACATGTTCAATGAAACTTAATCTGTCACAAAGCAGTGGGCAATACCATAAACCTTTTTAAGTACGTTAAAAAGGCATAAAATGTGTTAATTAAGGTCTAGTCCTGGCTTAATCTGTGAAACCAGCCCATCACAATAATTTATCTATTAACTTGGGAGTTTTTTTGATTTAGGATTGACTAAAAAAGCTAAACATTTAGCAACCACCCAAAACACCCTAACCACAGCACAACCACATAGCAATACAGTATAAACACTAAGAACATACAAAACCCTGGCAATCCCCTACAGTGCCCCACATCATCATGTTGGCAATTTATCCGGACGGGGTGCGTTTCCCGAAAGCATCGTTAGCCAACTATGGTCGCTATGGTTTTTTTATCCTTTATATCTTTCCATTGTGATGTCCAGAAACTTTTTTACTGGTAGTGTTAGTGTATATATATAGCCTACAGTTTAAAACTTTAAGACTCTTCTATAGTGATGTGTAGAGCTCAGGCCATCTTTCAGAAGTCTTTTATATAGGAAGTACAAAAAAGCAATTGAAGGCGTTACTCAGCCTAATATAGCAGCGAGGAAGCTCTCAAACACACAAGAACACCAGTCGTCTTCTGATGAATTTAGGCACTTTTTGAGGGCACGACATTAAGTAAGTGAAAATATTTAATTTTGTACCTACATATGCACTATTTAAATGTTTAATAAACAAGACAACTGTTGCATTGCACTCCATAAACAGTGAAAAAAAAAAACAAGGTTAAACAATTAAAACAATGTGATTCCTAAACAATTCTGATTATTAGTAATGGCACTATCTGTAAATGATGACAACATGTATTCCCAGGTGCTGAACTTTGATGCAGAAATGGTTTTCTGTTGCTGTTTATTGTCACTCTTTCTCTGGCTCAGAGGTTAGTATGACAGCTGTAAACATTTTAGTGAATTTTACTCAATAAATTCCATTAACTCTAGGTTCATTTTCTCAAAAATAAAGTAAACCTAGTAAACCCAGACACCTATGGGAAAGAAACTATTAGGTGTACCAAGATGAGTGTCTAGAGGCGGAAAATAATTGGCTGTCTGTCATTATTGGAGAAACTGATTAATCCAGATGTGTCTGACCTCAGTAGTCACAACAACAATAGGGACTTTAAGCAACAGCTGCTGATAGAACAACCCGGTCTCATCCCAAATCGTCATATAACTGACGTTTTGGGACGTCTTTTGACCATACGTCAATATTCGCCTTTTTAGGGCCCCCTTAAACGTTGGTAGATGAGGTTATGGGATCCTAACTCTACCCCATACCTAAACTTAACCCTAAACCTAACCCGTCACCTAACTGACGTTAAAGGTAAAGCGTCAGTTGTATGACGGCCCGGGATCGCCATCTACCGACGTTTAAGGGGGCCCTAAAAAGGCGGATATTGACGTATGGTCAAAATACGTCCCAAAACGTCAGTTATATGACGATTTGGGATGAGACTGTGTTAGATAGAACGGCGACGGCATCCGGAAATAAACAGTTCACTGCCGTAGTTAAAGAGCGCAAAAATCCCTAAGCAACAGTACAGAGGACGGCATTGGGAATAATTTAATCATCAGACAAAATACAAAAAGGAAGTGGTTTTAAAAAGAAAGAGAAGGGTTGATTTTAGCACTTAATGATATACAGAAACGATTTCAATGCCACATAACCTAAAACATAACATTAACTGTCTTAATCTGTCACATAGTAACGACTACGGCAAATCAGCTGTTCTCCCGTAGTAGACGGTTACAGTAGAACGTCAAGAAGTAGCAGTTAATGTCGCGCATGCGCAATAGAACGCCAGAATGCCGTTGCTGTTCCACCAGAGGCTGTTGCTTAAAGTCCCTAATAATCAGGCACACCTGAATTAATCAATTTAGACTCAAACTAAGATGAAACAATTTTTGCAAAAAAATAAATAAATAAAAATAAAGAAACCTGTATGATATACATGATCTGCTGTCACTGATATAAGATTAAAATGACCAGAAATATTACACAAAATATTTTAATTGGTCACAATTTGTTATACAAAAAAAAATGATATAATACAATTTCTTTTGTTGATTTATTTTAATTTCAGTGTCACCTACGTATGCTAACGGATGGAACAATGTTGTACCTAAATCAGTGGTGGGTTTGTCTGGCTCATGTGTGGAGATTCCCTGTACGTTCAGCTACCCAGCAAATGGAAAGACAAACACAAGATTTACAGGAATCTGGTACACAGATAATTATGAGTCAACGGTATTCCATACAGATACCTCAAAAATCAGTCAGGCATTCAAAGGACGCACGAGCCTCACTGGTGATTTGCACCTAAACACATGTTCTTTGAGAATCAGCTCTCTGCGTAACAGTGACACTGGGCCTTTCTTTTTCCGGATTGAGATTGAAAATTTAGACAAGTATACCTATTCGGCGAATAAAGTTTCTATAACAGTGAAAGGTAAGATCAATTTTGTTCAATCACGGTACTGAATTAAGTTACACAATTTAAGTGTTGTCCTGAGATTAAAGAGCAAAAGAACTATAAACAATAAAAAATAATCAACATTTTCAGCCCATAACATTTTATTGTAACGTTTTATTTCAGATTAAAAAAAAAAAGTGTAAACAAATGTTTGAAAATAAATAGCCTGCTAAGTCTTTAAATATTATTTGATGATGTGATGTGAACATCTAAAGAATACAAACATTTAAATGACTGTTTAAAACATATACTATGTTCAGAAAATGGCACAGCCTGTTTTGTTTACGGGGTTATAACGGTGTAATGGCTGCATCACTGCAGTTCCATTGTCACACTGTGGTTATCAAACTTAAAAAATACTCTGTAACAAAAGCTGACAGGCACGGAAAATAAACATTAAAGCAACAGAGAGCAGACCAGGGCTGGACTGGGACAAAAAAAAAAAAAAAATCAGCCCGGTAATTTTGGCCCAGACTGATGCACGCCCTTGAATATGTATAAGTGAATAGAAGTGAATTAACATATAAAATAACTATTAAGTTGAAATATACTGCTATATGAAATAAAACAAGCTATAAGCTGCATTGGGATAGCAATACTGGTGTTTCCCACAGGATTTTGTGAAATCTGTGTGCAAATCGAGTGCACTTCAGCCCCTCTAGGGGGGTTCGCATGCTCCCCTGTAAGAAAATGTGCTTTTTAATGTTAAATTCATCAATCTGGTGAACTTTGAGAGTTCAAAATTAAAAGCTCCAACCCATATTAAGTGTGCAAATTGAGAGAAAAAAAAAAAAACGATGTGCGAGTTTTATAGATTGTTAAGACCAAAAAAAATAAATAAATAAATAAATAAATAATAGTTAAAGTATAAGATGTATCGGGCAAATGTCCAAATTGGCCAGCCCTGGAGCAGACCAAGACTGAAAGCAAGGGTGCATCTTAAATAGCAAACAGAACCAAGATAATTCATCAGACACAACGGGGACAAATGAACTCGTAATAACAGTCGCACAGAGACAAAGGAGTGGCAAGAAACAGAACAAATGAACACAGGACATGACATCCATAAACGCTGCTTTTTATGCAGCCGTCTCTATCTATAGTCTAACTATCCACTGTATTTTGAAGTGCCCAAGACATCAATTTCATGCAAGCTCATTATTGTGATCGTATTAAAGTAATGGCACATGTCCATCTGTGTGTCTTCACCAGGGTCACCAGAAAAACCTACCGTCTCTGTGAAAGATGAGGTGACATCAGGGGATTCGGTGACTGCTACCTGCACTGTGTTACATTCCTGTCCGTCAGACCTGCCTCGTGTCACCTGGAGCCATGTTGGCAGTCACTCGAGTCTATCACAGCCGCAAAGTCACGATCAATGGAAGGTTGAATCTTACAACCTTACCTTCACTCCTTCTAGCAAAGACCACGATAAAAACCTCAGCTGTTCTGCCGAGTTTAGAGGGAAGACAGTGACAGGCTACAAAAGGCTCAAAGTTAAATGTAAGTCTGCTTTAAGTGAGTTTAGGACAAATCAATGATCAGACACGTATACAAATGTTTGTTTGTTTTTGTTTGCTGTTAATAGTAGTGCAGATTGATTAATCACATCTAACATGATGTTTTATTTACAAAGTTCGGGAGGAACATGTTCAAATTGCCTCCCGAATTTGAAGGCCCATATAGATAGAAGTGTTTCTACAACATATGTAATCTCAGATGTGTTTTATACTCTCATATAGATGTGTTTTTATACAATAGATGTGTTTTCTTTTATATAGATGTGATTTTTTTCAAACATAGAGTGTGTTAAAGAAACTGCAAGATGCAAGATGCATGTTAGTAGGACGAGAGCAATGTAAGAACAGTCTGTACATTGTTCAAAATAGATAAGCTTGCTTGTTTCCGAGCAGAAACATGTTAGTCAGGAAGATCAGGTGAAATGTTATGTGTTGTCAGTGTGAATAAATTAAGCAGAGGTGTCAGGCTATCAAGAGGTCATAAGTGGGTACGAACTAAGGCCATTGTATTTTCGAGAACTGTGTGAGGAACTTGTTCCAGATCTTGTGTAAAGATAATATGACTTTCGAGATCTTCACTTGTTCTTTAATTGCTATTTAAGGTTCAGGAACAATATTTCCATAACATAGTGGTTTTTTTTTTTGTTTGTTTTTTTGTTTTTTCAAACTTTTAAGGTGTAAAAAAAAAAAAAAAAAAACTGTAAGCATAGGCCCTGTGAGCATAGGCCTCTATATGCCAAATAATTAGCCACAATTTTAAAATAAATAGCCACATTTAAAAATAATTAGTATATAATAATTTAAAAATAATTAGCCACATTTTGTGATTCCAGATGTTTCAAGAACTGCATTTTCCTCAAAATATTATTTGGGCCATATAAACATAAGCAAATTGTATATGGACCAAATTGCATATTTTTGGTTTTTGCCTCAGAGTTTGTGCCTCTGAATAAAATTAAAAGAAATGAAGGATCAGACAGTTGTTGACATAACATTTGATGAACATTTTATCTCAATCAGATCCTCCATATGATGTAAAAGTGGTGACTAAACTCCCACTGAAGGAGAATGACTCTGCAGAACTGACCTGCTCCAGTAACAGCAACCCTCCTGCGAACAGCTACCAGTGGTTCAGCTTAAATGGGACATTGCTAGGAAATGGAACCACTTATAACCTGGAGAATGTGTCTCGTCACACTGAGGCTATTTCCTGTACAGCCATTAACACAGTGGGAAGAAACAGCTCTGGTCCTCAGAAAATGAATGTGCTGTGTAAGTACTGAGTATTTCTGACTGGCCCTTTATTGGTTGAAGAAAGTACTTTTTTAACGTAAAATGTTTAAATTACACACATCAGTTTTGATTTTAACCATTTACACCCCAAAGGCATTTTTTTATGATTTTACGTCTGTGGCATACTTGAAGGTAATGCTAGTAAATCTACAAAAAAAATTTTTTTTTAAAAATTAAAAAAATACAGATATAAAACAAGTGCATGTCTCCTTTGATAGAAAACCTAAAAACCTAAAGTAAAAACTAAATGTCTGTTTGGGGATTTGGAAAAAGTGATACAATGCATTGATTTATTTTGTTATTATTGATGATTGACATAATGACTATTATAAAGTATATATGGAAGCTTATAAAATCAGGTTGGGACTTGTTAACAATCATGTCAACTGCATATGAGCCAAATTTTGGCTTGATATCTCTGAGCAAACAAAAGTTATGGCATTTGGAACCATGGTAGCCTTTTTATCAAAAGTCCCAAAAAAAAAAAAAAAATCACTCCAAACAAGTGATCTGTGTTTTACTGAAAATAAGAACTACTTACATGTAAATGTAAATGACACATTAATCGATTCCAGTATTTATAATTACAAAGAGTAAGTAACGAGTAATAAGATCCTGGTTGATGAGTGATGATCTTCCAGTGCTGTTTAAGGTGTGTGGTCCTATTCTATGGCAAATTGTAAATCAAGACCTGTCAATCAGTGCGATCAACCCAATCCAAGCACGCTCCAGCTGTGTCCGATTGTTCTCTACACATTGTCCCACCCACTTTACTCACCAACCTCACCTGAGATTCAATTGGTTGAACTTTCAAATGACACTGTGTCACGGTGCATTAACAAATCGAATCGGCATTAACGCTTCTCGTGAGCTTTGAATGGTTGACGTCATGTGTTGCCGAACTGAATTGGGGATTCCGTTGCAACGCATCACTGGCTTCGCTCGCGGCAGATGTTTTCAAGTGCCAATGCTGGCGTTAGCCAATCAGATCACCTATGCAGATACCCTAGCACAGAAGTCAGCCAATTGCGTTCAGTTAACACCTAAAAAAGTTATGTGATTGGCTGTTGTTACTATGACAAGCGTCGCGTCAGCACCAAGCTTCATGGTACGGATACATGCACTTCTGTCGTGCCGTACTCCACTTTATTCCTATGGGTGACGTCAAGCGACGTGAACACGCCCACAAAGCATACTGGGAAGAAGGTGCTGCATTTGAAAAATGCTGCTCATCAAAAAGCTGGCTGATGGCCATCTTTGTGCAAATTAATTATTGGAACGTGACGCGACTATCCCATAGAAGTAGATCATATGGACACCGGGGGAAGTCTCTCGCGGGTCCTTTGTGTGTGTTTTTTGTCATTCATGCCCATAGCGGTAAGCTTGAGGAACGCCCATCAACGTACAAATGAGGGGAGGCATCACAACACCACGCTTCAGTTGTGTCCCAAAAGTGGAACCGTACCATCAGATATGCCCTCCGTCAAGCGTTGTCTCCAATGGCCCGTGTGAATGCAGAGTCATGATCGTGATGCGTCGGCTCATGGAAGTACTTTAGCTTTAGCCAAATAAGTATGTCTTGTCACTCCACAAGGATTTTCTCAGGATCTTTGTGTTATGTTATGCCAATTAAGTAGTCTACAAATCAGGGTGATTTGCAAATTGAAGTGCGTTCAACTTCGTCAAGTGAACGAAGGCGAGTACACTCAATTTGTGCACTTCAGGCAGATTCATAGACCACAATGCAGGTCGAATTTAATTTACCTCCACCCCTAAACTCTAGTCTAGTGTATGATATTGGAGTTATTTTAACATTTAACCGCATGGAACTTCTAGCTACTGACAGTTTTATTATACTGTGGTGGGAGGAGCAGAGATACAGTGGGTGTGGTATCAGGCCTCGTCAGGCACAGATTGGCTAATCAGGAGCACCAGGAGAATTCCCGGTGGCCCGGTCTGTTTTATTGGCCAGGAGGGCGGTGTTGTCATGGGACTGGGTTGAATGCCTTCCCTATATAGGCTGCAGTCAAAGCAGCCAAATTATTTTCTCGCAACCTCACAACAAAAATTTGTTAGAGATGTGCGAATGAAAAAAAAAAGAGAAACAAAAAATGTATTATAGTAGCCTAGGTGCAAAGGCAGTGCTGAAAAGACCATAAAAAAACTCTAGAAACTCTAGAAGCATTATTTGCAGGTGTGCCTCATCACACACCGCCAATTCTTGTTGTTTCAGCGCCCCTCCTCTCTCTCACACCCACTCCAGTCGGGCACCTGGCGAAGGGCTGTGATTTAAGGGACATGTTGGTGCTAATAATTTAGTCCCCTAAGCATTATCCCTGTTACACGGCCGCTGTACACACAGCCAGGTCCCATGCGGTCGGAGTTGGCGGTTCAGGGATAGCTCTCTGGAGTGCTCTTGCACCGCGCCAGAACATGGTGATGGGGACGCTGTATCCGTTGTTTTTCAGTCCAAGTCCAGCTCTCCAAGAACTTCCACTAGCAAGAGGGGATGATGTCATCAGCTGGTACCCATCCGCACTGTATTAGTTCTGCATTGCCCGCATTCTCCACCAGTGGGAGCAAACAACAGACACAATGGGTGTGGCGTCAGGCCCCAGAAAGGCTTTTGTTAATAAAAATAAACTAAAAATGTTTGAAAAAGGGGAGTAGAGTGTCCATGGGAATAAAAATATCGAAATAAATGGGGAATATGGTGTCCTCGCTGTGCTGGGGCACGTGAAGGAAAGGGATTGTTTAGACGGGATGGTCCAGGTAAAAGGTCCTAGCAGATCCACCAGTAGCATCTTACCGTCAAACATACCCTGAACTCTTGGTTGGTTAACCCAAACCTTGCTTACTTGAGGTATGCTGGTTCCAAAAACGTGTCCAGAAATAAGTTCAGTCAACCCAGAGTATGTCAACGGTTAACACACAAGAAATTCTCAACAAGTCACCATGGAAACAAACTACTACTTCTTTTGCTTACTTTGTTTAATGTGAATTTACAAAAAGTATATATATATATATATATATATATATATATATATATATATATTAGGGGTGTAACGATACACGTATTCATATTGAACTGTTAGGTACAAGGCTTTCGGTTCGGTTTTCGGTACGCATTTTTGAAACGAACGGTTCGTTGGACCATTTTTTCCTGCCGACCAAAATTTCGTTATTTCAAATGTTGGTACGTTACGCGTGGCAAGAGCGCTCATAATGTAAGAGACGCTGGCGTGACCACAACATTGCCCAACATCAAATGGCAAATGTAATGTAAGTGGAACGAAATTAAACTACTCATTATTGTGTGGGTGACGGACCGTTTATCAGTTTGGACCAAATATGCAGCGCGAGCCGATCTCTTGTTCATCAGCACTGTTACTACACAGCCAAATCCAGTAAAGAAAACATTCGCCACTGAAGTAATAACATCGCTGCAAGATCTAGTGAGAAACATTCACATTTCTCCGTTATCAACAGATCAAATCAGCACTGACGTGGAAACCAGGAAGAAACATTGTGCCATGAATGAACTATCCAGTGTCCACAGATCAGCAACACTTACCATGGGTTTACTGTAGTAACACTTACCGTGAAAGTTCGGCAGGAATAGTTGGCCATAATGCTTTCAAGTAACATCACGTCGGTTTTATTTTGACATTATGAATACAATTGCTGCCCTCAAATGTTAATCTGAACTAAAATAAACCTGTTTATAATTACTACAATATTACATTTCATTTTGTCCAAGGAGCTGTTTTGTTTTATATGCTCCTAAGAAAAGTCAAGTAAAGAAAGTTAAAAAAGTCAAGGTAAAAAAATATCATATGATGTTAGTTTTAACAAAAATATAATTAAAAAAATTAAATCAAGGAAATTTATTTGGCATTTCTTTCTTTTTGCTGTATCAGAAACGTACCGAACCATATCAAACCGAACTGTGACACAAGTGTATCGTATCGAACCGAACCGGGAATTTTGTGAACCGTCAGTTGAAAACGGTGTGGTGTCAACACCCCCTAAAAGTCCATGAAAACTGAAAAACTCAACACAACTGACATTTCGTGACATGATTAAGCTTAATTTGCACTGAACCTTGTCCTTTACGGTGTGTTTATTGACAGCATTTTACTTGCTAAAGTCCCTATACCAATACACTTACATTATCCAACTGTATCAGGATACAACATAACCACCATCTCCATACATACTTTAATTGCTTTGAAAAAACTGTCTTAAAGAAAATGAATGTTTGTTTGGCTGTTGTTGACTTTTATTTACATTTTATTTCAATCAGATCCTCCATATGATGTTAAAGTGGTGACTAAATCCTCAGTGAGGGAGAATGACTCTGCAGAACTGACCTGCTCCAGTGACAGCAACCCTCCTGCGAACAACTACCAGTGGTTCAGCTTAAATGGGACGTTGCTAGGAAATGGAACCACTTATAAACTGGAGAAAGTGTCTCGTCATACTGAGTCTATTTCCTGTACAGCCATTAACCCATTTGGAAAAAACAGTTCTAGTCCAAGGAAACTTAATATTTTATGTAAGCATGTGTGAATGTTCAACAACCAATGTTTAAATTGGTATTGTTAGTGAAAGAAGATTACTGGTTATGATTTAAGATCTATCTATCATCTATCTAATTTAGATCCTCCTGAAATTAAAAGCGAATCATCTTGCCAGGGTGGTATTTTGACAGTCTGTGTCTGTATTGTGGACTCCAACCCTCCCAGCGAAGTCAAGTGGTTTGATCAAGATTTCTCGAAAACCTTCCCCAGCTCCAACATCAAACAAAATGAGTATCGTACCATAATCACAATGCAAAACTGGCAGGGTTTACCAGAGAATGTCAGTTGCTTTGCCAACAACAGTTTGGGAAACTCTTCTATCACTTTGGCAGCTCCTCTAAATGGTGAGAATTTACATACAGTCTTTTTAAAGCACTTTACCATTGTTTTAATGTCGAGTGGGTAAATCATAAATCTTTGTAAAAATACAGATATTCTAAGGCACTCGAATAATGTTGAAAAAGTTTAAAAGCCTTTATTTAATCGTGGCGGCAAATGTGTACGGCCAATCCGTATATTTTGTGAAACGATGATGTCATCACCCCACGTGTCGACTAGTCAAGACAGTCATGTAACAGCAACAACAACTGCTTGTATAATAATATAATATAATAAGCTATAATGCGGCAGAGCTGTAATTCTGCCGTCGAGATCCACTAAGGCCCCGTCCACACTACTGCGTTTTCGTTTAAAAATGGAGAATTAAAACGAATACGATCTCCATCCACACCAGCGTTTTATCTGCGTATTAGAATTGATCTCCGTCCACATTAAAATGACTGAAAACGCGGATCATGTGACCATTCACCAACACTGGGCATGCGCGTGCCGGTGTAAACAGTGGTTGACGAATCAGGGAAGTATACGTCATGACTGATAACCCCCAATCATAGAGCCGAGCGTCATCCTCTGCGTCAGCATTTCTGAAGTCCTCCGTTTTGTCCCGTCTTCACTAAAACACGCTCTGGAGATTCAAAACGCAAAGCGGAGCGGCAGCGTCTCTAAACTTCTCCGTTTTGGTATTCATTTTTCCCGTTTTAGTCTGGACGGGAGGTGCAAACGTAGCAAAACGTCTCCGTTTTTAAACGAAAATGCAGTAGTGTGGACAGGGCCTAAAAATGCGAGAAGAAGACTCAGGGCATGCACATAAAGCATTGCGCTCTGTAAGCAGTAAAATAAAAGGCTATGAAATAATATTACGCACATTTGCTTATTTTCTTTTTTTACCAAGAACTTTATTGAACAACCATAAATTGCCTGGTACAAAATAGGGAGTTACGATATTCGGTTAGTTAGCGGACTCAGAAAGCTTGCCACAAAGAACCGGCAAAAGTAACGAATGTGTCAAATATAAACATTTGAATTGTCTATTAATAAACTAATGCTTTCTGTGTCATTCCTGACTGAAAAGAGGAAGTTGATGATGCTGACTCGCCACTTCGCAGTAGGCTATTGTGGGTAACGCACCTTTGGAGTAGGCTAAAGAACTTCATATGGATTAGGCTATAAGAGAGAGTATGTTTCTTTTCGTTTTGAATTGTTGTTTGTCGATGTTGTTTAAATGCAGACATTTCAAGATTTCTATATATCTCTGAGTTTCGGTTCATTTATGAGACGAGCTCCAGTTCACGAGCAATGCAAGTTATATCGCGCCGGGACATCCATGTCCAGATTATATTCTGCTATAGCCTATATTTGCTTCTTTTATTAACCCTCTGAGACCTAAGGGTATTTTTACAATAAATTTACTAAATCATTTACTAAAAAAGCTTGTAAAATATCAACCCTTTGGTGCACAGACAATTGACACACCTCTTTTTTTTTAGGACAAATTGAACTTTCAGCATATTTGTGTTACATTGATGTCACCTGAATGTAAAATAAGTTATGGGACCATAAAGACAAATGAAAAAATAAATCGGAAATGGAATCACTCAAATATTTATTGAAATCACACACAAATAAATAAAAGCTAAGCAATTTTCCTCTGGAAAATAGTTTGTTCATGTCTTTGGAGTCCTGGAGCACAGGAATAAACATTATAACTTGTACAGAACAAAAACTATTGACATTTTTCCAAAAGAAGTCCAGGCGTTTGGGGCCTCATGAAATTCACTGGTGCCAAGCCTCAAAACAGTTCCTATCAGCAATCACACAGAGGGCCACATCACAGGTTTTGCATTTCTATTTTATTTATTCTTTTATTTATTATGTTCTTTTTATTCTTTTATAATACATTTATACTACTATAATACTTTTTTACAGTAAATAAATAAATGGCACTTCAGCTGGGTCTATCCTGGTAATCTAGTTCCTCATCTGTCAAAAAGCTCTGTTCTCCTGAAAATCCATCATCCTGCAATGCACCAAAATAGACCAGCGCTTTATTTACGTCCATTTCGCTGTGTTTCTCTGTGAATCGCGCGTCTCCGTGCGTCTCTCTATCTCTCTACACTATATCAGCGCTTGGTTCATGCGTAATGACGCACACCAATGTTTACAACGGATCAGCCTGTAATTGGTCAAAAACCATCACGTGAAAACATCACGTGATATCCAGAATGGCCGCTAGCGTCGAGCTAGCGGCAAAAATGACCGAATATTTATGAATTATGGACTTCAAGATTATCAAAGTTTGACATAAAGCGTTTGGATTTATTGCTGAAAACCTCTGAAAGGAAGCACAAGTTCCAGGCTGGATAGAAAACCTTCTGTAAAGGCTAGAAAGACACGAAAGACACCCCCGTGATGGCTAGCTCGTTAGCTTTCTGCTGGAAAAAACGGTAAGAAAATCGATAAATCTGTCATCGAGTTATGTAAACATTTATCGGAGGTGACGTGTGGCATCGTCGACGACGCCGTCGGTCTCAGGGGGTTAAATCCAGGTAACTGGTTGATGAAACATTTATTAAAATAAAGATACAATTTATAAAAAACGAAATTCACTTCAAAGAAGGGTTTTATACAAAACAAAACTTAATGTGGTCAAAATTAGGTCTCCCGATATAGCCTTTGGCGCATATGCACGCGGTTCACTTTTCATAATCAACATAGATTCAATAAAAAAATAACATATTTAAACATAAATATTAAACTAAATACATTTCTATATATAATTTAACACGCAGGCTACGCTTAACTTACAGAGAAATGTAATGTCGGAGTGGAACATTAGTGGTGCGTTTTTGAATAGCCAAGATAATCAAAATAATTCCCATCGATGTAGGTGTCTTTGTTTCCAAAGCATTTTCAATTTTCACATTTTTTGGTCAAAGCGTTGTTGTCTGTCAGTCATACACTGGAGGTGAAGGGGGTCCTCAATCGGTTCACCTCAAAGAGCACGCACAGAGAAGTCAAAATTAAACATGATTTAATGACTCGTAAATGTAAGTACACATTGATGGCCTAATACACGAAATGAGCGGTTTGTGTGAGAAAACGAACAGTATTTAATATCGTTTTACCTCTTGTAATCATAACCAAGACAAAATGATGACGGCACGGGTGCTTCGGTCTGCGCATGCGCTGGAAGTGACCGCTTGCACGAAGACGTCACTCTTTCTTTATACAGAGATTTCGGAAGTTTTCGGATTTCGGAAGTTTTACCTTTCACTAAACATATTTATATATACGGGAAACCGCAATGGAAGACGATTTCGGTATATCTAAATATGTTTAGTAAAAGGTAAAACTTCCGAAATCTCTGTGTAAATATCGAGTGACGTCACACGCAAGCGATCACTTCCGGCGTAACATTGAACTGATTGAACTGAAGTGCCTTGGAATATCTATATTTTGAGCTGAACCATCCCTCACATCCAAAGAGCACTGACATAAGGAATAGGGGATTATCACGCTGATACGTAGGACTTCCGGATTCTGTGATCTTTGTGCACTGCCACTTCCGTTGAATTACCGATCTCGCTGGCGAACTGATGAAGGACTACACTAAGTTTATTTATACGGCATCCCTGGTAAATTAGTCTGATTCACTAAAGTGCCGGCAGCAAACAAACGTGCTACCTTGTTTTATTTTAAAGTTTTAATCCAGTTCTTTCTTATACTCAATTTAGTCGGGAATCCATGAAAACGTACGTAGGGTTGGCGTTGTTGGTTAGATTTACAAATTGGAACAGAACAGTGTTATAGCCTTCGTCTCAGCCATTGTTGAACTGCGTCGGAAGTGGACATGCACAAAGTTGACAGATCTCTCCCACGAAACCCGGAAACGTGATAATCCCCTATTCACACCCTGTGCAGTACTTTTTTTTTTTTTTTTTGCATTCTTTGCTTTTATTCAAAAATTTGTTTGTTTCTTTTCACAGGCATAACAATATACATTGCTGTTGGATCAACTATTTTAGTTGTTTTTGTTGGTGTTTTGGTGTATGTTGTGAAAAGACACCGGTAAGGGTCTCTCTCTCTCTCTCTCTCTCTCTCTCTCTCTCTCTCTCTCTCTCTCTCTCTCTCAAGCTACACACTAAATGACTCACTCAATCAGTCATACTTATTCCATATGTTTTGTTCCTCATTTATTCTCTGGCAACTTTAAAACCAATTTTTCCTGCAGTGGGAACAGAGCTACGCAGCAGCCTGTAATGAAGAATGAAATGAAGACAATCCCAGAGAGGTCTAAAGTCTCTCTCTCTCTCTCTCTCTCTCTCTCTCTCTCTCTCTATATATATATATATATATATATATATATATATATATACAACGTAAAATAAAAGTCTAAAATACACACATATAGTAACAGTAAAATATTTTCGAACAAAGAGACTTTTATTTTACGTTGTTTTTGAAAGTCTGCAGTCATTACTCCAGTTTTCAGTGTCACACGATCCTTCAGAAATCATTTTAATAAGCTAATTTGCTGCTCAAGAAAGATTTCTTATTATTATCAATGTTGAAAACAGTTTTTTGCTGCTTAATATGGAAACTGTGATAAACTACAATTCAAAAGATAATAATACAAAAAAGTTTTATTGAGCAAAGATGCACTAAATTGATCAAAAATGACAGTAAAGATATGTGTAATATTACAACAGTATTCGGTTTTAAATAAATGCTGTTATTTTGAACTTTCTAAAACCTTATACATACAGTTTACAAACTTTTAAGCACAAATCGTCATTAGAATGATTTCTGAAAGATCATGTGACAGTGAAGAATGGAGTCTTCACAGGAATAAACTACACATTAAAATCAAACATTTATTTTATAATGTAATAATATTTCACAGTATTAAAGTTTTTACTTTATTTTGGATCAGATAAATACAGCCTCGGTAAGCAAAAGAGACTCATATATGATCAAATGGAACAAAAAATTGTAATGAATCCAAAGTTTTGAAATCATTCTATGTAATTTGTTCCCTAAAACTATTTCAGAACTCTTACCAATGTTTTTTTTTTTTTTTTTATCTTACATTTTATGCAAAGTAGTAAAGAAGAGAAAGGCTTTGATGAAGATATTTACACAAACTGCCCAGACGGTGGTGATTATGACAACTGTGTAAGTACGAATTCACATCAATAAGAAAACACTGTTTTACTGCTAAGAAGTCTGAGTGCAACAATTCATTAGACATTTGTAGCAGTGTGATGTGTTGTGGTCTGAATATGTTGTTTGTGTGAAAATCTACTCGACTGAACTTTGCACATCAGCTAGCGGTTAGAACTGACAACACATTTAAGAATCCTGCATGCAGACACTAATATGCAAAAGCTGACTTTAAACAAACAACACTGCATCTGCCTTAACATTACTTTGAAGCTTTTATTTAGTGAACCTAATCTGTTTTTAAATATCTTTTTAATTAGCGTTATGTGGGAACATTGTCATGCAACAGCGCCTTGGAAGATGAATCAATCTATGCTAACGCTTGACGGAACATGCTGCCCTACCAGAATTAACATAGGCTGGGAAAGACCAAAAAAGGCAAACACATCTGTTGACTTGTTATGTGCTGGAAATTTTCAATGCTAAAAAAGGTCATGCAACTGAACAAAAAAAAAAAAAAAAAAAAAAAAAACTTGCTATGTGTTAAGATCATAGGCCTATATTTGAAAGCTTTTAAGAATGTAATGTAGGCTATAACGTGTTTGTGCATAGAGTTTCAATTTAGTTTAAGTGTCATCAAACTAAAAAAAAAAAACAAGAATTACAGTAGTAAAATTTTTGAAATGCCTGTAAACTAAAAAAATACAGTAAGAACAAGTTAATACTGCATTAATATATTCATGTTCAGTAGTATTGGATGGCTTGAATGTTAAACCAATTCCTCATACTGTGCAATCTGCAATAAGCTGACTATGTTAGAAATTTGCTTTTATGTTCAATTCTATCCACTGTGACGCTTTCATTCATTTACTTTTCCAAGTAAAAATAAGGCATTTTCAAGGAAAGGCTAAATTGGGGACTAGTGTGTTTGTGAAATGAGTTTAACAGCAGTTTAACATCACGTTCCCCAATTCTACACCAACTAGCACAGACTATGTTGTTCCCAATTGAACATTTCTGTAAAAAAAAAAAAAAAAGAGGTTTCATTTCCTTTTCTTATTGATAACAAAACGAAACACTTATAAACACTGTTCTTGTGAAATGAAAGTTAAAGAATAAAAGTTCCAAAGGTTGTTTGTATCTTGTTTGACAGGAAAAGTGTAGTTTCATGAAAGGGTGTTTGTTGGTGTGTTCTTTAGCTAACAGCACGCAATATGACCACATGTAGTGGGACATCTCACCTTCCGATAAAATGTATATATTTCACATATTTGCAATATTTGGAGGGGACTTATGTGTTAAAGTTGTTGTTAAATGTCAGCTTAATACTGTCATGTATTCTCTGTGTCTGGGTACACAGACTTTTATTTTGATATCATTTTGTCTTACTTTGCCTGTGTTCAGTACAGGTGTTTTTGTTGCCATCGTCGTTCATCATTGATTAGAGTCTCACCTGTCCCTCATTATCAGTGTGTATATATACCATCAGTTAGCTTCTGTAATGTTGCTACCTGAATCTTACTTGATTGTATGCTGGATCATCTCTGTTTGTTTCTTTTCAATTAAATAATCTTAACTGAACTTCAAGCCTTATCATTTTGTATCAAGAAGCCAGCAGGTGTGACAATTACACTTATGTCAAAATTTTATGAATTTAATTTTTACTTTTTTCATAATCTATCTGTGAATGTTTGTATCCCCCAGATACATCATTTTGGATTATAAAAATCGATTATTTGGTCTATAAACTGTCTACTTTGTGGCCCATTTTAGAAAATCAGTTCAATATTAAATCATCTAGCCATTAATATTAATTTAGTTAGCAATATTTAATTCTGTTTTAGGTCAGCTATACATGTTAGATAGCAGGACTAAAGAGGTTGGACTGTAATTGGGGTGTCGATCAGAACAAACTGGATTCAATCAGGAGGTTAGGAGGTTAGCAAAGGAGGTTAATTGTTGACAGTCTTATACAGTACACAGGCTGGTGTTTAGATGTGTGTGGTCTACAATGGGAAAGGAATAAACATATATATTAGCAAATGTCTTGAGTATTTATAACACAAACATTATTTCCATAATGTTGCCAATCTCTCAAATAAATAAATGAAGCTCAATTAAAGGTTCTCTAAGCGATGTGGGGCCAAAACATTTTTTTTTTGTCACATACATCAAACGTCTCCTCACTATCGGCTAGCTGCCTGTCCCCTAAACACACTGTAAAAAAAACGCGGTCTCTGTAGACACCACAGGCTCCACAAACGGCAACAAAAACAATCATGTCTCACCCGGACCACGAAACCTAACAAACAGTGTCCCAGCCAATCACTGGCAAGAAGTATTTGAGGGTGGGTCTGGGGGGTTAGTGCGCGTGCACATGAAGGGGGTGTGTGTGTGAAGGAGAGCGAAGCATCAGAGGGAAGTTTGAAAAATGGCCGAAACACGACCAAAGAGACGTCGTTCTGAGGAACAAATTAAAAAGAAGAAGGAGTCGGATAAAGAACGTGCGAAGTTCCGAATTTACATCGGTAGCAAAGCTTTTGAACGATGGCGAGAACTCCGGCGGCAGAAGGGCTTCCAATCCGGGTCACGTTAAATTGTTTTTTTTTCTTCTAAATTGACGCTTATGTTCGCCAAACCCACACAAGGATATAATTAGCTAGAAATGCACGTTCACAATTATTTCAGGAAGGACGGAAGGGAGGGGGAGGAGATGAGATGCGGAGGAGGGAGGTTCTAGCTTGCCTCCGATTTGTTTGAGAATATTCCGAACGTCAACACCCAGGATCGCTCAGAGAACCTTTAAATAAATAATGTATTAAAAAAATAAATAATCGCAACACAATTCGTATGCAAGTGATTTACATGAGCAGCACATGGGCTAAGAAACATCGCGTTCATAAACTTAAAATAGCAAACGTTTCAGCTGTTAAAGAGCACCTATCATGGATTTTTGAAAATGACTGTTCATATGGTGTGGAATATTGCTCTAAGGGAATGAAAACATCCTGCAAAGATTTATATCTGCAAGTGCACCGTATATAAAGTTATTGTCTTTCAAAAGTGAGAGTCGACTCTGAGTCTGTGAAATGAATTGTTTTTGAAACGAGTCATTAGCTGTTTCGTAGTGACGTAGAGAGGTCATTGGCCGCTCCCAACAACTGCATGCGCAGACTTGAAGTGACGTCTAGAACACATTCAAATACTTCAGCTGAATCGCATCATTTCGAGAAGACACTGTGTTCTACATTGCCACTTGTTTTCATTGTCCAGGGACGAGCATGTGAAGAATCAGTGGTCAGAGTTCATATTAGCAACAATACCACAACAGTATAGCCCGAACCTTGTGTTCTCATCATTTTAATGACGAATCATTCGCAAGCCGGTTGTTCCTGAAGGAGGGCTCGGTGTATATGGATCAGGTTCGTCCTTCGACGAATCACAATCTGTAAGTAATATTAATAATGTTTGCTGTTATGTTTTGTGTAGCATGCACAATATAGTTATATTGTGTTGTGTGTGTTGTGTACACTCCACGCAGTTTCTAAGCGGGGTAAAGTTAGTTTTGTTTTTGATATTCACCAGACATCCATTGAAAAATGGCAATTACCTCCTAAACGACTTAGCCAAGTATGACTTCGCTCCTATATAATATCGCCAGGAAAGCTTGTTCTTGACGGAGACGTGAGTAAGGGACCGTGTGGAAAGTGCACTTTTTCTGACACGTTTGTTCAAACACAATAATTTTCAACACTTGACAAGCTATAATCCTGGTTATGGGCTTTCCGTTGCCGACAGTCTCTGCCGGTTTACCAATTGCAACTGACTGGGTCATTTGACCAATCGCCGCAGATTTGCGTCACTCAGAGAAAATGTATAGGGAAAATGAATCGTCGAACGAATCATTTGGGAATCATTGAGCAAATCAGGTAAAAATAAATGCATATTATAAGACAAATTAAGTATTTTTTTATCCTTGCATGCATGTTAAACTGATTTTGGGAACTCCTAAAACAAAAATATAACATTTCAAATGCTATGATAGGGGCTCTTTAATGTGATGATCACACACACATAAATACAAATCAAACACTGGGTGCAATATAAATAAGTTACTACAAATTGCAAGTAATATTGAACATAATTTGGCATATTCACGTGCACTCGACAGTATGCGATAAACTGCTTCATCACTGTTGAATACTCATCACTTAGTGAAATGATGACATTGTATCAAGGCTTTTTATTTATTTTTGAAATGACCGATAGTTTCACAAGATAAGACCCTTATTCATCGTCTGGTGTCGTTTAAAGCCCTTTGAAGCTGCACTGAAACTCTCATTTGGACCTTGAAACGGTTGGGGTCCATTGAAGTCCATTATATGGAGAAAAATCCTGTAATGTTTTCATCAAAAACCTTAATTTATTTTCGACTGAAGAAAGAAAGATAAGGACATCTTGGATGACATGGGGGTGACTAAATTATCAGCAATTATCACTTTTTTTAAAGTGAACTAATCCTTTAAGAGAAATATATATTTCAGTAAAAAAGGTAAATGTACAGTATTTAATGGTACAATTGCAAGAGCAAAGTTATGTTTTTGGCAATTACTTTGGATTAAAATTATAGATAACATTGTCATTTTTTTTTTCTCACAGCAGAACATCAAAAGCAGAAGTACTAAAAGAAAACATTTTTATAAAACACATCTGCAATAGCCATCTGCATTCTTGACACGTGCAATAAAAAGTTAGGTCATATTTCCACTTCAGATTGAGGAAGATGAGTGCTATCTAGTGACTGATTGTACAAATTTGTCCATTAAATCCAAACCTTGAAAACTAACTAACTGATAGGCCTACTTTAAATAGGATAAATGTCCTTTAAACCCATTGTTAATGAAAGGCATGTCATGAATTGAGACTGCATCATTGCATTTCTTTACTTAACTTCTCAGTTCATTAATATCAAAACAGATTAGTTTGCAGCTATTTAGGACTACAGATTAAAATGTGTTCTTAATTTGATAAATACCTGTCAAGAAAGATGAAAAGATACACGTCATGAAATGTATGCAGATTAGACAGTAACACATAAATGTACATATAAAATGTTATTGAACAAAATATAATTTTTACTCTTTGAATATAAAATTGCAAAAATGAAACTTCTGTCATTTCATCAGTTACTCATTTGTGTCATTCCAAAGAGTTTCTTCTGTGGAAGACAAAAGAGGATGTTCTGAAGGTATATTTATTATATATATATATATATATATATATATATTTATTTATTTTTTTTATTTATTTTTTTTTTTGCAACAAAAAATCACAGTTTTTTTTCACATTCTCAACTCAACTCAACTTATAGCACTTTCAACACCACAAGTGGAACCAAAGTGCTGTACAGCTAAAAAAAAAAAAAAAAAACAGAAAATACAAAGACATAAAACAATGCAAACATATGACATACACTGACAACTTACAAAGCATTATCAAATGCTAAAGAGAACAAAAAAAGTTTGAAGACACTGACTTTTCCGGGAAAAGATTCAAAGTTTTGCGAGTATGGACAACAGTGCCATCTGGTGCGTATTTAAATTAAAGCAGCCAGAAGCCTGTGTAAGAAGCTCTATCAGATGAAGCAACCACAACACACTCCATAGTTTCAATGGTATGTGAACAAATAAAAGCCTTACACGTTTCTGTTTGATTTGTCCATTAAATAAATTCATTTACACATTATTTCTCTTTTTAGAGTAGACACATGACCCAGAGGAGGCCGGGGTACAAGGAAACTGTAATGCCAATGTATATAGACGGGGGTAGACATGTTTCTGCATTCTCCAGTATTCAAGTGGATCTTCAGCTCTTTGTATGTTTGTCTCTGTAAGGTATCGATTCACTTCTATGATCGCATCAGAAGTGGCATTTGAGCCTTGTTTGTGCTGGTCTACAGCACTATCCAACAGAAGACGAAGGTTCCCACCTCAGAAGTGTGAGGAGAAAAAAAATGATTGGGAGTGACTGTACATGTACATTGACTGAACATAAGACACACCAACCTGCTGTCATCCCAGATGCCGTCCCCGAGCAGCCTGCTGTCGTCCCGGAGGCCGTTCCCGAGCAACCCACTGTCATCCCTGATGCCGTCCCCGAGCAACCCGCTGCCGTCCCGGAGGCTGTTCCCGAGCAAGCCTACTGTCATCCCTGAGCAACTCGCTGTCATCCTGGATGCCATCCACGAGCAGCATGCTGTCGCCCCCGAGCAACCCGCTGTCATCCCGGATGTCGTCCCTGAGAAGTGCACTGTCGTCCCGGAGGCTGTTCCTGAGCAGCCCGCGGCTGTCATCCCAGAGGCCGTTCCCGAGCAGCCTACTGTCGTCCCCGAGCGAGACGCAGTCATCCCGGGGGCCGTTCCCAAGCAAGCCTACTGTCGTCCCTGGGCAACCCGCTGTCATCCCGGATGCCGTCCCCGAGCAGCCCGCTGTCGTCCTGAAGGCCGTCCCCGAGCAGCCTACTGTCGTCCCCGAGCAAGACGCAGTCATCTCGGGGGCCGTTCCCAAGCAACCCTACTGTCG